AAATATATATGCGTATATCAATAAAGGATAGCCCATTGATATTAGCCATTTACATACATTTTAAATGCTACTCATAAATGAGAAACATTTGTCTTCCGTTAAAGATTCTCAAAAAATATTTTCAATATCAATGCGCCAACCTTCGTTACATAAATCTCTACGAATAAATAACAAGTTCAATAAAGGATATTTTTTGAGGCGTATTATGAAAGGTTTCAATAATTCAAATGTAATAATTTCTAATAATTCACTCTTTTGCTACGGCTTAATTTAATAGCTTGATTGATTAAATTTTGTATTCGATATTAGAACACATTCTGGGGTACAATTTTCAGCCTCACTTACTAAGAAAATGCTAATTAGATTTTCAATACTTGTGACAATCCAAAAACAACCCGACTTGAACCAGTCAAGAACAGATAAGAGCTTCTGGAATGAAAAAATGAGTCATTTCAGTAATTCCTGGATAATGTGCCTGCACATCAATTTTATTCCAGGTCATTTAGCACTTTCTTAAAAACATTTTCTAAGAAACATAATGACAAGCACAGTAGAAAAATCTTATTAATAAATCTTAAACTGAAGTTATTATTAAACTTGTTATTTAGATTATTAATATTATCTAAACAGTGAGGTACATCCATTTACGTAACACTTAATGTACCTACACAGCATTTGTTCCCCTTAAGTCTCTAATATTTGTTAGCGGTAAGTAAATACGGTACAACATCTTATATATTTACTAGAAATATTTTTACCCTGTATATTTTGTTTATAATTTAATGGTAAATAAAAAACAATTATGCGGTAAACCGTTTGTAATAAAACATATGAATGAAAATAAATAGTATTGATCTTTGAGTGATTTTAATTTTAAATATTTTTTTTGGTCCGACGCATAAAAAGTAGATGCATTTTAAGTTAAATCGGAAAATCATATTATTGTCAAGCATGTGAAAATGGTAATTAATATACGTTATTTACACAATACCTTAATATCAAAACAGATTATACTAATTGACGAATCAAATGAATAATTCATATTCATTAGGGCAATTTGATATTATTGGGCTATTCTACTTTATTTTTTTACAAATTTTATATTATTTATTACCGTACCATGTTGCGACAAATTTGAAAATGTTTCGAATTGATAAACTAAAATAGCCTACATATAACAAATTACTTTCTATTCGGAATTTAAAATTGTAGTAACTGATGAACCTCCTATTAGTTGTGCATCTACTGTATAAAATTTTTAATTAGGTCATTTTTGAGCGTATTTTATAAGCATATTTTTAGGAACATTTAAAAAAACTCGTTCTGTTTAAAACAATTCGTCGTATTTCCTTAATGTCTCTCTTACCTTTGACTGATTACAGATTTGTAAATCCAACGAATAATGTAAACTTTCTCATATCTATGTTAACTTAAGAAGCCGAATTTTACAACAGTTCTAATTACAAAAACAAAGACTCTTAACATTTCAAGATTTTTGTTTTCTTAGGATAAATATAAATAAGATATTTAGATGGCCATTGTAAATAATTTTTCGGGTCGACCTACCTGGCTAAAGCTTTAGGTACTTCCGTTATAACTCTAGTTTAAAATATCAAAATTATTTATTTATCTCCAATTTTTAGGCCGCTTAAGTAATCTACTGTGAAAACTTAATTATTTGCCAGTTGTTTTATCACCGCATATTTAGTAAATGTTTGTTCCCATCTTGCGAAAATTTTAAATATTATTATTTTGAAAATAAATATTTCTCAAATAATATACCTACAGTTAACAATATTTTTATTATATTATTCATGTTTAGATTCCTCTTTCATGGTGTTGTAATTATTTAGTATCTAAATATCCACTTCCATAAACGAAATTTCAAGAAATAAAATGGAACATACTGTATTTTACTTGCAAACTGGGCTCTAATTTTTATTGTTAGAATACATAAATATACTATACAATTTCTTAAGTTTTACTACACGTGGTTTATTATCAATGAAGGGGATAGTAATAATGTATATCCCAATAATTAGAAAAAATTTCAGGTTTGGCATGTGCTAACAAAACATATTAATTTTGGTATAAATTTCTATTTTATTTTTCCGCGGAAAATTTTATGTAATTGTGCGGGAATATAAAGTACACAGTTTTTTGTTATCTTCTCTAAATTTAGAAAATAATTTTAGAACATACTTAATATCAGTGAAATATCAAAATTTATATTTTTTGTTAAATGTCAGATTTGAAATTCTATTATTTATTATGTGAGGTAAAAGTATAGCTTCATTGCAGCAATCAAGCAATTCTTGATGAGCATATTGATTGTCTTCATACTTGATTTATTGTTCTAATATTTGCCATTTAATTATAATTAGGATTAATAGAAATAATAATTATTACTTGCATTAGGCATACACTTCAAATAAATTCGCTTTTAGCTTATATTATGAGAATGTAGAGAAGAAATTAGTTATTTAAAGAATTATTTAAATACTATTATAAACATATATTATATACAGAAAGACATTATCGTTTAAATTTTAAAACGCAGACCCTATTTATTCCATATTTCTCGATCACAGGCAAGACTGCTAATATACGAGAGTATCTTGGACTATACAACTTAATAAAGCTTCTAAAATAATAAACTTAACTATGTTTGCTTTATACCTGGAATTACACATCAAATATTTACCCGAAATCTTTTAAGTTAGTCGAATATCACTACACACAACATTTATTTATTGCATAGCGAATTGATATGTCAATTTTAAAGCTTCAACTTGTGCGTATCGGATTTATCAAGCAGGTACAGTATCGCCGCTAATACTTAATTGTACAGTTTTTCCAAAGTCATTTAAATATGGTTAAACTTATTCCTGTAACTGTTTTATCTGCTATCCAAGGATTTGATTTTGTTGATTATTCATGCTACTAGATATAATTAGAGATGTTTTCACGATCTGTTTGATTTTGAACTGTTTGAATATACTTAACTACACTTAAAACAATTTACAAGATTTACAAATTACTGTGGAATATTTTGTAATCATAATAAATGTCTAGGGCATATTGTTGAACTCAGCAAAGAAACTGTTAATAATCAGGGAATAAAACTATTAAGTTTATAATAATTGAGGTACTTTTACTTTGTCAAACGAAAATTGATGATATTTTTAATTCATGCCATATTCAATTAATTTGGAAACTCTATATATCTAACAATAAGCATGAAAACATTTATAATTTGGTACATTTTACTATACAGTATGTACGAACTGATCCGCTGCAAGCATATAATGAGAATAATGAGATAGCTAATTTAACTTTTGCTATGTAAGGAATAAAGAGAACATACGAAATAGTCACGCCCGCTATCCCCGCTATTCGCTAGTGGACGAAGCGAAGCGAATTGACGAATTCTAATATCGGCCGGCAACCGATAAACAAGTTTCTGTTCTTTACTATCTTATAGTATTGATTGAGATTCTAATTCTAACGCTTGCAGCGGAAGAATTCGTACACTCTGTATAGCAATATTTTAAGAACTTACAATTAAATAAAAAATTAAGGCCTTTTTGTGAAGCAGTCAACTTTTTGAGAATGATTATTTACAGTGGTATTAAAATGTCGATATTCTCAAAATTAATTTAATGTACACTTTACTAGTCTACAAAATAAAAATAAAAATTAGAAGCAATTTACAAAAAAAATACTATTGATGAAATGACCATTTTATACCAAAGTATTAAAAAATTGTATTTGTTGGTGCCCTTATTTCTAATGAAATAATTTATAAATATTCAAATAATTCAATAAAAATTAAATTTAAAATAATGGCAAAATTCGATACATTAAACCAAACACAAGAAAACATTTTGGTACAATAATTACAAAATATAGGATGTTCCATTGTTGGTTAATATTTAGAAAACCTGCATGAATTGGTGAAGATTTAGTTGATATGAAATACAAATAGGTATTAATATTTTCACTTTATTTTAAGAACGTTATGCGATATCTAATTCACGTAAAATAGGTAAAAAGATACTTTTTCATACAAAAAAGTAATGTGCGATCGAACGATTGGAATGAAGAGAAAGAGAATATAGGATACGTAAGTACACTAACAATTAGATACTGAGACAAGATACAACTATACAGGGTGTTCTCGAACTTATGGTGCTAAATTCTAGGGGTGGTAGTTTGCATAATTTGAGACCGATTCGCTGATTTCACTTTTCTATTATTAATTAGAAATAAATGCAAAGAGCGAATGTATCCCTGGCCGCAATAGTCAGCTAATCGGAATTTTAACTCAAAAAACAGATGCGGTGTATTTATCAGCAAGCGCAAATTTCCCCCTCCGCCCTCCAGTTTTCGAAAAACGTTACCGATAACGATTGTTTTCTAGTGCGAATTGTGTCGTTTTGTTTATAAAATCGGGGTTAAATAGATTCTTGTAATTAGACTTTAGTGATATAGTTGATTGTTTAGTTCTTGGTGTTCTTTTTAATTTAGTTAATTCTTGTGTTCTCATTTTAGTTAGTTCTTATGTTAGTGATGTTCTGGAACAATTAATTGTAATATTGGTAATGCTTCACGCATTCAATGGGATTATTAAAAAACAATCAGTGTGAACTTCACTATTTTTCGACAACAAAATAGGTGAGCTAATATTTATTTAGAATTTAAAGTTTATTTTCTTCTATTGTTTAAAAATCCCGGTTCACTTTCTTAATTTATCCATGATTATAAAAATTTAGAGACCCTAATATGAAATAAGTAATAAACAAATTCAAATAAGGTATTAATTTATACATAAATCATTATTTTGTCGATTCTAACCTACGGTGAACGCGATCTATCGCGCGGTCGAGGGGTTTCAACCGATGTACAGGACCGCATTTCTTTGAAATATTTTTAATATTCCAAATTTTGTTTATTATAATTTTTTTAGAAAAATGAAATCTGTGAATCGGTCTCAAATTATGCAAACTACCACCCCTATAATTTAGTGGCATCAGTTCGAGAAAACCCTGCATTTAATTATTGCATTAAATAATAATTATTATTATACTTATGCACGATATAAATCAAATTTTTGTTGACAAATATTTAAAACTCATATAGGTATGCAAAGGTACGTATTTATAAGATAAAAATTAATTATAAAGATAATTATTAATTACTCGATTTGATCGAATTCAATACCCTCATCCCGATAAAATAAAGCACGTTTTGGAATCACACTGTATGTACATACATAAGTACATATTTTTATGTTCAAGGAAATGACTTCATACGTAAAATGTTTGCGAGAAAAGTAAAACCGGGTCCCGATGAATCATTTTTCACGAATAATATATGTAGTGTAAGTTGGAAAATTTTCAGATTTTTCAATGAACAGGCAGAACGAACTCGCGCCAAAAATAAATAAAATGGGATAAACAGTAGTACATAGTACGATATGTTGAAATATTTCATGTTAATAAATTCATCAAGTTAAAAATAGATTTTTACGAAACGAAAAGCTGCGTGGAAATAGAAACTCTTACTAAATATGTGGTGATAGTGAAGTTTTTTGCACAGTAAACATTCGGGAAGTAAATATTTTAAAAGTTTTCTTTTCATCTCATTTAAACTCTTACTACGCGCTAATTGTCTTACAAATTTCAGTCTCACATTTTTATAGATAATAAGAAAGTGTATAAGCCTGGTCTAGTTGCTGTAGCACCCTGTTTAAATAAATCTACATAAAGCTGTGTAAAAATCTTGTAGGTACGCTAAGAGTTGATTAGGCTGTGGACGCTCAGTAGTACTGGTCATCCAACAGTAAGTCATGACAGCAAATCTGGAAATAATTTTCAACAAAGTTTATACAAATTCACCTAAAGAATTTAAATTCTCATTAGAATTCCAAGAATGCGCATCATTTAAATAATTTCATTTACTATTTTTCAAGATTCTCATTGAAACGAAATAAACTCTAATAACATATAATTATGATAATTACGGTATATGATTGATGAAAAGAAGGAAGTGGTGATTTTTTAAATCGAAAATAACCTTCGAATAATGGTAAAAGTACACCCAATTGAAAAAAAATATCAATATTTGAATCAAGGACCACAAAATTAATGATTCGTAATTTATCAGATGTGTAACTAATAATTATCTTTTAGCATGAATTTTATAGCTAATAATCTTTTATTTCGTTGATATGTGAGAAATTAAAATTGTTTTTATAATTACTCGCACGCCTCTGCGAGATATAAATATCAAATATTACATAATATTAACCAATATGTATATCTCGAACGACTTAAACATTGTTTGTATATTAAATAACATTATTGTGAGAGAATGAAAATGAAAGTGGTCTTTATGAGAAGAAAGTGAAACACATTTTGTAGACCCAAAACTCGACGAATATGGTCGAATTCGACGAAAAATAAACGTATTCGATATTTTTTTACGTTCTCTTTCGACAGTATTATCATCTGCTTCGACAGTTTCGATAGTATCATCGCCTACACCTACAGGAAACCAACATGTCTAATAAAATAATACTTACAGTTCGTCGGGACATCCAAGAGGCTGGCTAAGTCTGTAACCTTTTTTCAAGTACGTCGTGATCTCGAAAGGGTCCACGTCGACGTATGGCTGTAGCGCCATGGTTGATAATTCCCACAGCACTACTCCATAAGACCACTGTAACAGAAAAATGTTGATACTATTCGATACTATTACAAGGAACTCTCCTATTTGTTACTGAAAATTCGATTGCTGAACCCTTGTGCTCTTCAAATATCCAAATATGTGTGGCAGAATTTTAATAAATAACAAAGATATTCGCAAATTTTCTATTGTCTTTACCACACATTTTAGATTTAACATTACCAACTAAAGCGAATTCAATAATAAAAATTATTTACTTATTATTTAAAACCTCATGTTCAACCCCCCATGTAAAATTTTATACGTATTGTTTTTTAATGACCAAAAACATTTTGGAAAGATATTTCAAATTTGAAAATTTTAAAATGGCAATTTAAACTTGCTTAATGCTTTAAAAGGGGTGATTTGGTATTTTTGAAACAAGCATGTACGCATTTTCTAACAAAATTATCGCAACAATGTAGTCATTATATTAGGAAATTTCAAAACAGTAAGCATTTTAATAGAACAATACATCTGCTCACGGCATGGCAACATCTAAAATATAAAACCTTCTATTCTCCTCTCGTGTTACCTTGAAATTTTCTTTAGTGCTAAGTAAAAGCACCTTATAGAATGTAATACATTACCTTCTGGAAAGTCACCCAATTTTTGCCTCCTAACTATCCGTCTCATTTACATTTTATTACAGAGTGTTTGAAGCAAAAATTTTATTCTGTTGTAAATTATTCGCCCAACCAAGCAATGAAATAATTACTAAAAAATGTACGGATTTCAGCGAATTTTCTCTACTTCAATTTAAGTTAAAAAAATCAGCAAAATATATTAAATTCAATAGATAAAGCCTCCTTATGCATCAATACCTTAATTTAAAATTTTAGCTTTTGATTTCCTCTCAATATACCATACCGACTAAATTATGAATATAAAAAAGCAAAATTTAAGCAATTGTTGTTCGACTGCTTTTATGGAATAACCTTCAAATTATGACATTGAGATCATAATAAGGCGAATTAGCTTCACACATGATGTTATATCATAAAAATGCAGCACGAATTATTCAAAAAAAAGGTTTAATTTCTGTAGCGTCACCGCGTTAAATCGGCGGGACATGCTCGAAACGCGACATATCGAAAGTAACTAATTAAAAAAAATTGAAAAATTCAAATCAAATAAATTATAACTCCCTTTAATTATTGGCATCACAATCCCATTCTGCGAATTATACAAACATTATTATTTATAGTTGCGTTTACGATATGTATTAGTTTATTATTAGGTGCTTTTCTATAAATTACGTTGAAGGTTAAGGGAAAGCGCAAAGTAAACATTTGAAGTTGAAAATAGCTGGAATGATTCTAGTTGGTTATTAATTAATATGTACAATATTTATTTTTTTTAATAATTCATTTTTCATAAATTTTGTTCACAACAATTTGTAGAAAATTAATGTGAATGTTCGAGGTATTTTCAGGTGAACAAACCGAATTTCCTCCCATTAGACAATACAATTATATCAACTCTTCATTTGCACAAAAAATGAGTATCATAAAAAATATCGGCGAGGTTGACATTTACCTGAATTTTAATTTCTACTTAGTATATCTCGTTTTGAAAGCTATCAGGAGATAGTTGAGTACCTTGAAAAGGAATATTTTTATTTTTTTTTTCATTTCCTTTTTACTTTGAAAGTAAATGAAAGAGACTGATGAGAATAAAGTTGAAGGTAGATATTTAGCGTCGGTTACAATAGGATTAATGCAGTGGCGCTCGAACGGGAGAAAATTATAGTGAACGGCATAAGTAATGAATAAATTCAAATTTTAGCGTTAATATTTTCTTTTTATCAAAAATGCCTAAAACAGTAATTGACAATTTGTTAAAATATTTTTAAATAATTTAAAAAAGTAACCTATGATTAAATAAACAATTAAATTTCCTTTTAAACGAAGTATCACAAGCCACCCTTCATAATTTAAAAACTTGAAGGGGTTGTTACACCTACGAGTGGATTCACTTTAGAATTAAAATAGCCACGTTAATAATTTTTAAATAAAAAACAAAACTTAAGCGGTTTTTTTTCGGTTTTTTATAAACAGTAGGTAATAATAACGCCAAAAATTAATTTATTCGACACTTTATGTCGCTCACTGTATAAGCACTGTATTTAAAAAAAATAATGAGTAATTAAAGAATATCATAAAATGCAATTAATATAAATAAAAACATACCGGTCCAATGTATCAGTTCTTCAAAAACGTTTCTGCGTCTCTTTTTCTTCTTCATGAAGCTAAACATTTCAAAGTTCTGACCGGCTTTTCACGAGTTCAAGAGCCCTCGTGTTACGTCGACCAGAAGCTTATGAATAAATATTTTCGTTTCCCTTGTGTTTTGATGCATTTTCAAGGATCCGGCGCAGGGATGATTTGAATCAATGGGGAATAATTCTAACATTTTGGCCACACCTCCAACGTGGGATATATGAAAATGGGCCGTCCTTGCAGTTTCATTATCAACTGATCCAGAGCTCCCGTCTATAAATAGAATTCCAGAGGACAAAGGACGGCCTCTGGTATAACGTTATGCACTTTTCTCAAAACTTTCCTTTTTTTCATTCAACATTTACCGAGAGCTACTTTTTGTAAATTACCTATTACATATTTTTTAATAGGGTAACTAAAAACCTATAATATTGTGCAATAATTTATCATCTTTTGGAATTGATACTTTTTCCCGCCATTTTCCAAGTTAATCGTATATCTTGTAACAGACAATTATATCTTAATTCTCCATTGCGATTATAATCTTGACTTGATAGATACAAAGAAATTAATCAAAATTTGAATATACATATTAAATACATTCCATACATTTTGAAATTAAATTGAGTATCTCTCTCGCTACAACCAAGCTTAGTATAGAAGCGTTTATTTGTCTTCCTAACGCTATCATTGACAACGTCGTAATAATGTATAAGATATAAATTAATTCATGAAATTTAAATTAGTTGGCAAAATTTAACAATAACTATGCAATCCTTGTGAATTGTATCGAACCAATGAAATGTACTAGGTTTCACGCTACTTTTGTAGTACCTACGTTTTCCCATTTATAATTTTTTTGCAAAATTTTTAAAATTAGTGTCTGGTGTAAAAAAAGCATACACATTTTGTGAAACTTTGGATATCTTAAACCGCATTTCACATTTTTTTAATTTTTTATTCACTATTGCAAACCTTCTACATGAATTTAATAATCATTTCTACATGTATAATTATTTTGCAAAATAATATTAACAAAGTAACGAATAATATAACAATAATAGGGATGTATAACGATGTTTAACGATAGATAAGGACAAGTGCTTTTCCTAAAATTGCCTCTGGCATAATTAAAAACAACTTCCTCCGTTTGTGCGTTTCACGGTCAATGTCATATAATACTTGTTTTTCGTATTGTAGGAAAGTGCAGGGAGAAATTTTGTACTCACAAATAATTTTAAACCAATAAGAAAGAGAATTTGCTCCGCCTTTCGAGCGTGGGCAACACAGTTTCTCATCCTAATGCGATCGGTATTTCCTGGACATAACCTGGCTACGAAGCCTATAAATATGAATGACTGGGGTTGATTCATAAAATAAATACAACCTGTATTGATTTTTGTTCAATACGCAAAAATGCATTTGAATTAATTAACTAATTAATTGGGACAATCAATTGATGCAAATATTTACGAGTAGGTATACTCGTAATGAAACAATTTAAATTAGTCTCGTTCGAAAGGGTTTCATGTATTTTGTACGATTAAAAAATATTTACTTGTTGCCACTAATTGAAATCTAAATATAGATCGTTTAATTTATCTCATGTCAGAAACAAAATTCCAAATAAAACAAGAAAAAAAACTCCTGCAGTCGTTCAAGAAAATTTAATGAAAATTCAGACTTTAGAATTCTCGCGTTTTAATAACGTTTAAATAGTTTAACAAAATGTGCAAAATGTGTTTATAACAATTTAATCCTAGGTAAAATTGTAATGGCACCCTATGAAGGATTAGCATAAATTCAATTGGACGTTTCCATTACATTCGCAATAATATCCAGAATAGGTATTATTCCGATTTAATGGAAAATGCGATTTCATCCGCCTACTATGCGTAGGCACCTAATATAGCTCCTTTGTGAACGTTCAATTGGAAATTCCTGGAAACAAACTGCAACAATAAATGCATATGCGTTGCAGGAATACGCCGCATGCAAAATAATACATCCCACTCGCTGGCTTCTCCAATAGTTGAGGAATACAACCTAATTGGCTGGAAAATCGAGTGACACATATGCAATAGCAATAATGAAAGACTAATTGGTCGCTTCGGACACACAACATTGCATGTTATTGAACTATATTACTTACCGCGCGTTTCATATAGAGCTTTCGCTAACTTCATAACTTTAATAAACATGATTTGTATTAAACAGTAATATTAGATGTGATTTGAAAATCGGTTTCTCTACAGGGTTGTCACTGTCAACTTACCACATCGGAAGCAGCGCTAAATTGATTGTAAAGCAAGCTTTCCAAAGCCATCCATTTGATGGGTTTGCTCTCCTGATCGGCCAGGCAAAAATAATCGTTGGGAAAGAGGTCTCGCGATAGAGAATTGTCCATTATCTTGACTTGAAGTTTCTCGTCTACCCTGTATGAAAATCGGTTAATATAATGAAACTAATCGATAACAAAGTTGGTTAGCAACGCTATGTGGGAGGTCCGTAGTAATCTGCAATTTATATCGAATTGCGTACTTTCTTTTGCAGAAAAATCCATGAAAATAATATCCGGTTACAACTAAAAATATTTGGCGGAAATGCTATGGAAAATACTACTTCAATTTCAAAAGTTTTTAGCGGCTTATTTTCTGGGTATCTCTGCTTTGTCAAGTACAAATCCTTAAAACTTATTCGGCACAAAGATCAGATTACGGAGGAAAATAATATTAATATATAATATATGTAGGTATTTACTGGATGAGTTTTACTCTTTATTTTGTATTTTAAAGAAAATTGAAACTTACACTGCGTTTCTTACCGCTACGTCTTTGTAGCAAATATGCTGGCCGTGCAAATACATAACGCCTAAGAGGATTTGTATGGCCATGTCGACTAAATTCTGGGTAGATAGCACAATGTTATTCTCCTTCTTTTGACGGCATTTTATTAAGAACCTGAAAATAGATGCAGAAAACGTTCCATTCGGATTTATCGTGTAATATCTCACATTTCCGTCGGTTGCAGCAAAAAAATTAATGAGATTTTCAGATACATTTTAAATCGATCGAATTTTTTTGAATGACATTGTTGTTGCTACGCGCTCATTTCTCAGTATTTCAGAAGTGTTAATTTAAAAGTGATGAAAAGAATTATTGTATGATGCGGAAGCGTAAAAAATAAACCTTGAGAAGTAAAAGTGTGTAAAATGACGATCGTTATATTTACGTTTCAATCATACCGTGTAAGTAAAGGAAGGTTATTAGTTAACTATTTTTCTAAATTTTGAAACGGACACTTCCAACTCGGAACATTTATTCTACATATTTCTTCTAAAAATTCTTTAATTGTGCACATAATATCATTTCTAATTAATTTTTGTTTAGATATAAATTACCTTTTCAAGTTTCCTCTATTAGAGTAAGGGTAAACGAGCAAGGGTTGCTTGGGATCATCCAGGTTGGCGCACAATATGGTCAAGACGTTTTTGTGTTCTAATCCGTACATCATCGATCCTTCTGCCAGGAAGAGACTCATCAGTCGCTTCGATGCATTTTCTAATTTTATTAAATTCATACACATTAATCATCACAATATGAATAATAATAATTATTTTATAATAAGCTCTGTGAAATTGAAACAACCCTTAATGTAGAATGGATAATAATTTAGTTTTTTATAAGATAGATAATTATGACAATATTGAAAGTCACCAAGTTTTGGATATTTTTTTATTTTTTTATTACATTATATTGTTTGGATATTTTTTGAAAGTTTCAATTTCACAGGTCTAATAATAAGGATAATTTAGGCAGTAGTTAAGTTAAAAAAATGGGATATATGTTACAGAAATATATTATTCAAAACGTTTGATTAAAATCTGAAAATATTTTCGCGCGAAAATTTTCCTGCGAGTCCTGGAACATCTTGTTGGTAGATAATATGTAAGTTGTTACATTGAATAGTCAAATTTATTTTTTTATTAATTGGTTCTATTCCAAATTACCGTCAAATTGTAAATATTAGCTGAATAATAAAAAAAACATAATATTGCCCACAGGATAATTTAAACAAAATATTCAATGAGAAAACAAATTAATTCATCTTTGTGCAAAAGTTCAAAATTTGTATGAATAATTTAAAGGAAACTGTTCAAATTTAGCAGAGTTTCTTACCTTTCGTAGATTTCACTATAACGTGCTGCTGCCTGTAAGTGCCTTGATAAATCCTGCCGAAGATTCCCTCTTCCAAAACGCAATCTAACGTAATAGTTTCTCGCAGGACCGATAGAGAGCGCAACCGCTTGCTCGGGTCCACGTGGCGCGGATCCTGCATGGACACCTGAAGAAGTTAACGTGAAATGTAATTTTTTATTCATTATATTACGATTTTTACAATATTTTAGAACAATTAGATTTAATTTAATTAAAAAATTTAAAGGGTTATTTTGTTTTTACAAATTTAATTAAATACTGGCGTTAATTATGTAAAAAATATGTTTTCTAATTACGAAACTACCTTCTTCTTTCTACAGTGCTTTTTATTAAAACTCTGTTCAAATGAAAAAAATCCTTTCAACATCCAACATTTAAAAATACATCATATTTAATGAATTCGTCACTAATGATTCGGGGATTTTTCATTTATATACGAAAGGTTGGATAATTTTCGTTATTTACCGTGTACGCAGATATGTACGTTCCTATGAATTTCCATTATTTAGTATTTGAAACTTCAAAAAAATTTGAAATTCAAAACGATAACAATGGATAGAGGGAGTGGTTGAACTTTCGGATTAATTTTTAACAGTGTAGTACCAAAAATATGTTATGATTTGATAGAATATAAATTAAAATATAATTAACACTATATCGAACTAAATATTCCAAATTTCTTGTATGGGTAGGAACCTACGGAACCTACTCGTGTATGTTTTATTTTTAATTTGATATAAAACTTTTACTAATCTAAAATGTTAGGAATTTATTACTCGCTATAATACGATTTCGAGAACACCCTGTATAAAAAATACTTTGTATTCGCCGAAATCCGATTCTGATTTCTAATAAAATAATCCCTTTTCGCTGGTAGTAAATACCTCTAGTTCGTATATAAATAACTGTAATTACATCGGAATCGATTAGTCGATTTAATTGAAGAAAATACCTCTTAAATCCCGAAACAGGATAGTGTATGCTTTTTCTAAATAGAAATAACGAGATAATCTTAGCCAGAGCCTCAACTTCCAGATGTTCGTGAGCCTCTGATAGCTCTATCTCCATGACTAAGCCGAAAGCGCCATGTTAATCCCCCGAGAATTCAAGCAATACTGTTTGCTCTAGACACTGAATTTCCTTCTCTCAAACCGTCCCTAAAGCTTATCTGTTTTTCGCATAAGAGCACCCTCCAGAATTGTGCGAAATCAATCACGGACTGCACTCACCGACAAATCGCCAACTTTCAATAGTTATGTAATTAGTATTTGTAGAATATTGAGCAAAAGTTGCTATCAGAATTCGCAAGAAACTCTTTTAAGTTGCGCACAGAAGGGCTTATAATTAAGGCCTGGTTTTCTTATTATAAATAATCGTTGGGACATAAAAAGGGTGCTGTAATTGAGCGTCTTGGTCTGTAATTAAAAAGCATTTTCTCTTCATCGAATTTCCGCCATGGTAATTTAATATAATAGAATGTTAATTATTGGACGGCTTTGTAGAAATTCTAAGTAGAAATGTTCGATGTATTTTTTAAAAGTATCATCTTTGCGAAAAAGTGACGAGTCGATTTTTAATACAAATGAACTACCGAAAACGATGTATCCATCAATACGCTCCACAGGATATTCGCTTGAGACGCGATATATTTATATCCTCTTGAGATGTGGAATCATCATTTTTAACCTGATATTTTCATAGGTACACAAGCGAAGACGTTCGATTTGCATTTCGCGAGATACGAAAACACTCCGGGTCGTAATTTGCCGATTTTTTTATTCTCCTACGCAAATCCATCAATATCCCAGACGAAAGATAATTGAGATGTGAAGAAAGGTTCGACATGTTTTTCCGAAAATAACATATTCTTCAAGTGAACGATGAAGAAATAATTATACTTCTACATTATTCATCTGATAAGTTTATAAATAATTGTTTAATAATGAAAATTTAATAACAACTCTCATATAATAGCTGTAAGAACGACATAATCGACGAATAATATTCATTCAAATATTATTAATTTATTTATGTGGAAATAAATCTTAAACTGTCCCTAGTACAATTTTTTTGTATTTATTAGATTGTCTTCTTCCTAGGCATAAAAGTTGTATAATTAGACCGATGGTACAAACACAATTTCGTAATAAATTAGCTTTCCCCGAGGTTCTTGTGTGTACCTGTATCATTCTTGGACATCTGCGTTGCGTGAAAAGCGATTAACTCGTAATCATACGGTACACTGATCAAGTAGTCACTTAACTATAAAGAATAGAGGGTGAGGAGCGTCCCTTTCGGGTACATTCATATCTCTTAACGAAGCTCGTCGAAAACGAAGCGTCAATAATCAACAAACCGGGAGTCTTTATAGGTAGTTCCAATGATAAACCTTTTACTGCCTAAAATTGATCCTAATGCATACATTACATTTGCTTTGCTGATTTCTGTGTAATAATTTGCATGTAATATTGCGATTATTGATAAAATTTTTAACGAACCTGGGAAATCAACATGATTTGTGATGAAGCGTAATAGGAAACTCTGCATGCATCGCTCGAAGAATAAAATTGGCAAGCGTCGCTGGTGGCGTATGGAGAAGGTGAAGGGGGACCTTTGTGGACACTAGCTATTGTCGCGTAGCTGCCACTCTCGGCGCTTGGCGGTCTTCCCAGGGCCGAGCGCAGGAACATGTGCGGGTTGCTGTCGTAGAGGGCGGTCATGTAACTGGAAAGTTAAAAAATTCGAATTATAATATCAAAGAGACGAGGAAACGATCTCCGGGCATCGAAAGGGAGAGGAGGCCTCTATTGAAGGGACGGTATCGGTGCGCAATATTTACATCGGTTTTCAATGGAAACGTTCTGGTTTAATGACGAAAATTCGACTCAAAGGACGTGGCCAGGCAATTTTCAGAAGGTGAATGATGAGATTATTTCCATTTCGGCGCTTTCTATAACTGAAATCGTTTTTAGATGCCTGCATGTGAATTTTATTCGATCCAAAAATTGGCTTTTTATACCCCCGAAATAAATTCTCACATATGGATTCGGATCAAAGATGAGTTAATGACTTTTCGGAATTCATTCGGCATTAACGAAATCCACCCTCTCTTTTCCTTTGACTTTCCAGCGAGTTATTATGACTTTTGCTTTATATCCGCGGCGACGGAACCGAACTTTCGGCTTAACTCTTAAATCAAAACGTCAGGGCGCTTTAAACACTTTGTTGATGGATTTCTTCGGTATATCCCAACTACTTTGTAATAAAACGTTATTCCTTTTAATCCAAATTGAAAATTTATTTTCCTTGCTGGAGTCCCTTTTGCCGAATGAAATCGGTAATGAAGTAGGTAGTGGCTGGTGGAAACGGAGAAAACCGAGCCATTATAATTTATTCATTTCCCACTCAAAGTAGACTGTGTCTTTTTAGTCTGTTTCAAAGAACATGGAATATTTCAAAAAATTTCTTGTTGAAGTTTAAAAATTGACTTCATTAATTATGGCACATCAGTGGGATCTTTACTCGGTTAATTAACCAATTAACAATATCCTTTTGATGTAAGCTTGATGTATGTTTTCATCGAACATGATGACTTCATTAATCCGATATGTAGGGTTTCGTATATTCAACTAATTAATTAGGGTAGTGACATGATTAAACTAATCACCTACCTGATAGATACAGATTAATGAAACAACGGAGGTTTTGTAGATGATACTTACTCTCTGTTATAATATCATTTTTTTTAGTCAAGCCATCATATTTCAAATAAGCAAGGACCACAATTAGAGCTGCAATATTATTTACAGCGTGAAATATTGATAGAATTTACCTCCATCGCAAATTAATTGGTAAACAATATCGTTCAGTAAACGCATCCCCTATGCTTTCGATTTGTATAGCGCTAGTTAAATCCTGAAATCACATTAATGAACGCCAACAAAATTTTTCCTAATAAAATGCAAACGCACGCTCGACAAATATCGGAGGTAAAAATGACCTCTACGGTTTTCTGAAAACATTATTCGACATGTATAATATTGTTTGGGTCAATGAAATTCATTGATTGTATTTCCTCACGCGTATTGTTGGTAATTCGATAATTTTATTAATTTATACTTTACTCGACGCAGACATTAAGCTTATTATGTATCATTCAAAAATCGTTACAATGTTCCACATTGTTATTTTTCGGGACTAATAAAACTATAAATCACAGATAGACTGATAAATTAAATTTATCTTTGCTGGCCCTCCTTTAAATGACTCATATGAGCGCATCCAACTTCTTTATCTGCTGAAATGTATTGCACTTGAACTAACTTGTTTCGAAGATATTAGTTTACTCGAATAAATCAAACACTCGTACAAAGGAGATCCTGCAGTAGCAGGAATTTTCTTGCTCGACGATTTATTGGAATTTCGATCGTCATCTTAATGCTGCTGAATTAAAATGTTACAAAATACTCACGTGGGCTCCTGATTGCGACTTTTCTTCTTCACACAAATAGCAGACGTCACGACGACAATAAGAGTAATCATAGCAAGAGCACAGGCAACGGCTACATAAAGAGACCCCGTTGTTGCTCCCAATGTTCCGGCCTCGAATCGGATCGAATCGTTTCGAGATGTATCGATACCTGAAACCAAATTGAGCGCTCGCTTAATGAAAGCTCATCTCTGACGTAATTGTTTCTTGAGTTTCAAAATCGTTTCATCAAAAAAAAGGAAATTAAGTTAGATATTGGATACGAAGATTGCTTTAGATTGGCTTCCAATGTGGGGATACCAAACCAGGATGATGTTTTAAATAAGAGCCTACACTAGTATTATTGAAAAAACTTAGACATAAAATCGAGTAAAAAGCGCGAAGAAGGGAAACGCGAAACTAATGTATAAATCAGTAAAATTTGCGAAGCAACACCCTCTCCAAACGAAACGTTTATAACCCAATAAACGTTTCCGATACCAGCGCTTGTTGGGACTATAAAACACTTGTTGCGATCAGGTTAGATGTATTTCCTGGTCAACTGAATAAATGATATCGTTGTTGACGTTATTGTTCCCCATCCTGCGCCATTTCGCGACGATGCGCTCTGCATAACGATATCCGCATGTCCAATTTGCTGTTTCGCACTGGAAAAAACTCTACCAGATTCCAGGTTTACGGGGAACATAGTTGCGGTTTGCTATTCCTCGACACATTCGAGATGAATTTATAATGCCCCGGAATGATAAATTTTCAAGATATTGCGAAGCAGATGCTAGTATACGCAACAGGAAACAAACCTCTTTCGGACTCGGGCGAATTAATCATTATTTTTACTGGCGTTAAAATGATTAAGTAATTGTTATGGTACGAAAATTCGTAAGCGTACTTTGTGATAAACCCATGGGTGAACGTTTAGTTTATTATTTCCCTTTAGATTAGCGCATACAAAGCTCCGCGAGTTATTAAAGTGTTTACAGCATGTTTAACCAATTTTCTGATCTCTGCTCTGTTAAGTGCCTGATCCGAGAATTAAATATATAAGAGGGAAGTGCAAAAGCTGTTATGGAATTTAGCATCCCATTTAAATTTAGATGAACTCTTCCGAGTCTGAAAAACTATATATATATATATATATATATACAAAACCTCACGTAATCTCTATGCATTATGCCCCTTTTCCCATCCTGCACGATAATGGAAAACAAAACATATTTTTGTATTTTTTAGCTACATATTTGAATAACAAATTTCTCTAAGTTGTCTTTAAATCTCCATTTCCACAATAAATTTCCAAACATTCAATAAGTTATGAAAAGCTCGTTATGCTTATGTACCCTATACCAAATGTATTCTTTTATAGTAACTATATAGGGTGTTCTATTGAAATTTATGTATATACAATGTTGGCTCATAATAACAATAATAATAATAATAATAATAACATTATAGTAATAATTGGATGAGTCATAATATAATTATATATATTTTTCTTAATCGCCGATATCGTAAAATACAATAATTTCCGAAATATTGTAAAGCAACAGGGGAATAGCGAGACAACTTCGACACATAATTACTCTAACATCGTAAACATGGATTGGCCACAATTACTTTAAGTGCGAAATTCCCCATAGGCAATCTAAATTATTACAAGTCGGTTAAGCGTTATCTAATAAAAATGTTCTCTTCTACGAGAGGGCTATCGGGTAATAAAGCCTCGCTTAAAGCTCCGGCGTCGCGTCGGTGGGAGCGCAATAAAAAACTTTAAATTGCGTGCAACAAGCTTTCGATTAAATTAAGCGAGGCGAATGCGAGGAATTGATTAGGTCGAATGAGAATGTGATTTTTGTGTGAATTATACGGAGATCTTCGTTTTCTATTCGCAACTTCCGCGAAACTCCATTATAACTTACGTTAATACGTAAATCTAATGAACAGTTTCCTCTCCGGGACGGAACGTATATCAGTGGAATTCAATTATATATATCACAAACAATCACTGGCAATATGTGAAGTTATAATTATCTAATTACGATGGAACTGGTGGGAAATTGATGCAAAGTTTTGAGACAAACATATATGCTTGTTGGAAAAGTTTAAATAAATAACGATTAATACTGGGAACTAGAAAAGCCAGTATATCAACCCACGTAGTTTTGATTAGTTTGATTCAATTTTGAACCATATACATGTTGTTGTTGGACTAATATTGACCCATCGCTTGAAGGAGATTTATTTTCCTTAAAACTGCAAAGCTCACTTTATGGATAATACTAATTAATTGTTGTATAACGTTCCTGGTATTGTTCGATGTTTTCGTTTTATTTCAGAACGTCAAGTTTAAATTTCAACGGAATCGCCGGATGAGTGAGTAAACGCAATCGACTGGCGAGCTTGTAAAAAAAAGAACGATTGAGGTGAGGAATCGCTGAATGTGGAAACGTTTCGATGTTTTCGGTTTAATCTGATTTCTTGTGTTCGGAAAGCACGATCTGGATAGAGGGATTTTCCGACCTGTTTTCGAAGTGTTTTTTTCTAACTTTTTGCTAACCGCTAATAACGACAAAAATTAGCACTCAAATCGTTATTTTATTAAGGCAAAATCGTCACCTGTATTACTACGTTTGTTAAGTTCACCCGCAGTGTAATAAGATTTCGCGCGAAACTTCATTCATAACGTATTAATAGAAAGTAGAAAACGTAATAATGCAAACCACCGACGCAAGATTGTTTCCGAAACTTTCTTTAATGAAGTACCCTCCCGACGACAAAGTTTCCATGTATATGCCCGACTCTTCAACGTCAATATCACTGTAGTAAATTTTAGTGCTTATTAAATTTTCAACTAAACAAATTATTTCGATAATTACTTTACGGGAAAGGTAGAGTTTTTAATTAGCATAATATTGCACGTAATACTTGTAGTACCAAAAAAATACGCTACCTGTAAATATTTAGAGTCACAAATGTAATACTTACTTTTGAGGCAGATCTTGTTCCTTCTAAATCGAAGAGTTGTAGCGTTCTTGTGTTTGTGAGTGCTCACATTGAGCTGAATTTCAACGGTTATTTCCGCATTTTTGTTTCCTGTGCATATTAGTTTGATACTGCAATGAAAAATATTAATTAGCATGGTATTTTTAATATAGAATAAACCCTTCCCGCTTCAAAGCTGTATAATTGTTACGTCCCTGAACAACTTTAAAAATGATTAAAGGTGCTGGATTTTGTTTGGGAAAGTTTGGTAAAGCGAAAAACAAAGACAATATAAAGCACAAGGAAAATTTCGCAGTGGCTCAGATGAAATTAAATTGCCTCCCTTCGTTGTGAGGTAATATCTATAACGGGAATATTAAATTTAATCCTGTTGGGTGATATATTAGAGAAAGTTTCCTTAAAAATATTAAACTAAAGCGAATTTAACAAAAATATACGTACAACATAATCAAATAGTTCGTTGAAACACAATAATTTGTTAGTTAATTAAGTCAACATTCGTGCACAAAGCTGGTGTAGGTATATTAAAGTTGCAAATATTATTAAGCAGTTAGCGAATTCAATACGTGGAAATTACATCCAGTCTATAAGATATCGCTTAAATTGGATTTGCCGTTTTCTATCGATACGAAACTTCACATAATTTCCTGATATCCCATAACCCTGGTTCGATATACAAACCTGAATGTCTGCACAGATGTTGGTATCACACCAGTTGATGAAATATTCATCTGCGGGGGTAGCAGAGCACCTCTACTTCCATGGCTGTACTTCAATGCTATTACGTACGGCAACTGAAACGTCAATATTAGTAAATAGTAAATTGTATTGCTGGATAGTAAAAACCTGAATGCTAATCACGCGATGATGTACCGGCACCGGCCAGTATTGATCATTAAATTGTAAGAGTTTATTGGTCATTTCAACCTCAAATGCGCCTTAATCTACGTTAAAACGTAACGGAATTTAATAAACGTTCTTGTTAATAACTTACGCTTTGTTAGTTAAATTCTGGCGCTTTAAGACAATTCGTCATTAAAAGTTCGAATTACACGCCAATTAAATTACTTATTCGATAGAGAGTTTCTGTTTAAGTCCAAGTACACGTCAAATGAAAAATTTCGTAATGAATAAACTGCTGGATATCGTCGAGTCAAGAACAGAAATTCAAATCGTTATGTCGAGATAATTTAATTGGATTCGAACGGATTGAAAGGGGAAAGTTCCTGAAAATATTTTGCAAATCATTGTGAATTCTATAATGTCCTGTAAAGTTACTCAAGTCGTGCTAACTGGTGTTAACTATAGTTACGATTATAGGACATAGTTGGGTAATGTTGTTAAAACTAAAGTGTATAGTGGTAAATGCCGATATATTTTTACTTTCCATTGTAAAAATAATCCGAACGTAAAATGGTGCTCACCTCAATGACCGGCACAGTTTCAGATTTTGATGTAAAAGTAACTTATCTCGACGGCAGCAACGATAATAAAACGCTTATGCCCCATAAAGCAACATTGTTTCCAATTTCTATTTCACAATTTTATACTTTAAGCCGAAATAGTAACAATATGAAATATTGGAAAAATGTTTTATGTAAATTTCATCATAATGTAATCGTATAGTGAAAATTCACTATTCTAGTTCGTTAGGCGTATTTAAATCATTTCGCTATCAATAAAGCGTTCTTATTATGAAATAAAATTTTCGAAATATCGAATAGTCGACAACCGGACAACAAGGCCTGTCCAATTATTAAAGCGAGAATTCGCTAAGTTAATGAATTTATCCAATTATGAAATATATTTAGAATTGAGTGTCTCAACTAGGAAAGCAAATGCTACATAACATTTGATACAAAATTTATTCATTTCTCATATTCCACTGTTCGACTAGCGTTCCGTAAAATCGGAAGTTGATGCGAAATAATTTTAACAGAATGGAACAAAGTATAAACAATTTACTCTATAAAATAAACTTCATTCGAGTCATATTAATTATAATTTGGCATGAGGTAAATCCTTTATTTCCGATAACAAATGTTGGGTATTTTCCGTAAGGCTGTCCTCGTATAAAACAATAAATACGACTGGAACTATTTCGTCTGATAAACAGAGAAACTATTTTAGAGGAAACTCCAGGTTTCCCACAAACAATAGTTTGTTACACTTGATAAAATAACGAGTTTGCCATTGCATTATAGTCTACAAGTATTCCTCAGGTCTCACAATTATAAATCCAATTCCTTATATGCAAAATCCATTTACTTTTGATTAAATTTTCTAGAATTCGGCGTTCAGGCTTAAACATTTATTTCAGCAATTCGCGGATTCGGCTCGAATAAGAGATCCGGTCGGAACGTGATCTCTCCCACAGAACCAGTTTAGGCTGCATTTACTGCATAACTTATAATTTTCCTACGCCTAATCTACGTGAGGTAGGGCGTGTGCTGCAAACTTTCCGTTTTCTCGAGTTTGAGCAACAGAAACTCGCAGTGAGTTATTGCGTTTCGCAGAATCCCTGCATGTAAGCGTAATAAATTACTCATACGGTTCTATTCATGTCGTTCTTTTTTGGCAATAACAAATATTCCATCCATCGATTTATTTATCCCGAACTCCTTCGAGGAGTGCATGCTGCATTCGAATATTGCCAAAGAAATTTAAATTTTCCGTTATTATAACGCTGACGCGTATATCATCCGGTCGACCATTGTTGAGGGTTTGGAAAAGCTGGATGGCGTCCAGATTTCCCGCAGGCAAAAATAACTGCGACATGATGATGCGGATTTTTTTAATCATTGAATTAGGCATAATAGTTCGAAGTATTAAAAGAGGTTTCAATGTTTGTTATAAACGTACGTATTATGTTATTCATAATACTTTGTATATTGTAGGGATTTGGACAAAACAATCGTTTGGGAATCGTCACCTGGAACAAAAAACCACAGTCGTAACGATTTTATATGTATTTATACCATAATTCCCGTGTACGCGATGGTTTTTGTTTTTTTTGTTCATTTCAGAAGCGGCTTTAACTTCCAACAGAGCGGTAATTGAGTTTTTGCGATTGAGAGAAATTTAATTAATTCCGTATTTCGTATTCCGTCCGCTTTATTTTTTATCTAAACCTCTTCTAATATAAACGCATCAGGTTCTGCAAGATCTAACATTAGAGCTCATCGCTTAATTTGAAGCCAATTTGATTAACTACTTTGCATATATAGAATTTTCATTAGCAGAATAGGTCTATTTACATTCAGTCTCATCCATATTCATATTAGAAATTAACTGACCTAAAATGATATTTAGGTATATTAGATAAGGTAAGTTTACATATGTTGACTTGACTATGGTATATGTTAAGTAATTAACTTCTTAAATCCAAGAAAAAAAAAGAATTTTAATACAACTATGCAGTAATGGAGTAATGGAATACAAATAGGGTTTCAACTAGAAATTGTAGGGGTTCACGAGATATTAATCAAAACCAATATTTGGGGAACTTATTGGAGGGTCTGTAAGTGCACTTACAACCCTGGTTATAATACGGCTAATTTTTGATTTAAAATTAATCCTGGAGGAACTTTTTCTACTGCGGGATATATTGAATCAGTGATACGTTGAAAAGTGAGAAAAATCACATAGCAGTGTTTGTATAAGTAGGAAACATTTCTGATGCCGAGAGAAACTCTATCAATTTCAAAGAAAATCGCAGATGAACGATTTCCAATTAGATGCTCGGAGACTAACACCATTCACTTGTGAGTGAATGCAAAATGAAAATGGTATATTCGGTTGAATGCATTCACTCTCAATTATATTACATTGGTTACCCGTGGTAACCGTTTATTGAAGTTGCTCCTAAATCACAGATACAGAGGGAAGTGGTTCGACAAGGGTGGAATAAAAATATACATTTCGTCAGAATTTCCATACGTTTCAAATGCGAATTCCGAGGCTTATTAGGTAAAGCATTGAAAAAAATGTATTCTTTGATTTTCTGCCTGACGACCGAATTAGGCCGTTTTTTCATAACGCGGCTGAAAAAAATACAATTCAAACTTCGCAAATTGGATGCTTAAAATTTCTACAGATTTTTCAATCGATAGGTAATTTAGCATTAATCGAAAAATGATTAGCCCTGATTACAAAATAAGCATTCCAATCAGCTTCCCAAGCATCAAAAATGCTTTAGTAGCTCGATTGGGAAAGTAATTACCAATTGAAATTGGCTATACATACACATATAGCGCACTAATGAAAAACGTTACGCATTCCTTAATGCTCATTTTGTGCAAACGAATTTAATTAATTACCTAACGTTGAATCGAGTTCTATAAAATTCGATATTACCTAACTGCGAATACGAAAAAGTTAATTATTAAATGAAAAATTAGACAAACATTCAAACTTTAGAGAATTCGCCTCATCAAGTGAAAAGATTCTACGGCTTCGTGTAAATCGTCGAAACGCCTTTAATTACTCGCTCCCCGAATTTATTTTGACTCGAAAGCAACCAATTAAAAATCGTAATTAGCACACCTTCCCTTTCAACTCGACCGAGTCAAAAGGTATTGTGGAAAGAATTCAAGATTTTCGAGGAAAAAGGAATAATTTTGTTTATACATTTTTAAACCTGTTGATCAATTATTAAGGCCAACGTCACGGGCTAAATGACTCCTTTAGTAGGGATAAAACTACAATAATAAAAGATAAGTAAATAAGGTTAGTTAGTAGGTTAGACTTATCTATTATATACAATAATCGGTAAATCAAATTTTATAAATATATTAACTTAGTCTCATGATACATGTTGTAATCTACGTGTGATGCAAAGTTGGGCGTTTGAAACATCTACTGGCGAACCGCATTGGGAGAACCAAGGGAGAGACGGAACTTAAAGACAAATCTCGACACTTCAATGACAACGAACAATTTTAATTGAATGCCGAACATTCCGGTCTCAACGTTGAATAGATTTCTGATATTTATTGGGCTTACACGAGACTAATCCATCGTTTAGTATACACAAGAGAACAAGAATTTCTCCTCCATTTATCGAACCTGACGCGGAAAAACGAGGATTACTTTCAGCTCAAGAGAGGTTGCTTTACTAAGACGCTTTGTCAGCTCTTACATTTCACAGAAATTAATTTAGAATACTATACTCCTGCAGATACACACGGAATGTTTGGAAAATTTACCCGAGCTCGAGGTACGTTAAAATGTTTGTTGTGAAAAAATTTTGTTCTTTTGACTCATGAGCTGAATATTTAGTGACAATAACAGCAAATTTCGCAGAATGAGTCTCTTTTGTCGACCCATGAATATTCATATTTTCGTTGTAGCTCGAAATGATTTCCTTATTCCTCTCGCAGATCATTTATTTGGATTGTCTTCAGCGCGATGCGCTCTGTGCAGTTTAATGTGAGTTTTTCATCCCCCGACGTATGAGTTTAATAGTGGTTTTATTACTAACGGTAACGTGTAGGCGTGTAGGAATTCCGGCGTCAAATATGAGAACTTCGTTATGGAGAACTGTCGGGACGTAAAATGGCTATATGTGTACGGATTATTTATACATATTATATTGTATTGAGTTTTTGAATGTAGGCATAAATCAAAATTACCAAAGCGACTTATGCAAATTAAATCGAATTTAATGAGTGGTTAATTTTCAAAGTCGCTTTTATTCCATTTAACCCTCCCATTCGGTTTGAACATCACATCAAATGAAATTTTTAATTCGATTATCTTCTATCGGTTGAAAATTTTAAATTTCAATTCGAACGCGAAAATCGATTATAACAAATTCGCTTTATTTAATGCAATTTGGTAACATAAATTAATTCGGTTAAATGATTTTAAAAATAGCAGTATTTTTTTAACTTTGTTTATTAGGAGAATTTCAAAGCCTATTTAGATTCCAGTGGAACAAAACTATTTATTCGAACCGCCATAATAACCCACTAAATCAATTTTATCACTTGTTTTCTTCTGCTCTTTTTTCCATATTTCGCAAGAATTTGAATATATTTGCCGGAATACATTATTCCACTCCAAATAACCGAGTAAATTTCCAAATGCTCATGTAATAATTTGTGAAGCAAATTATTGTATTCTGGAGTGCGTTCATACTAGGGGGATAACTTTAAGGTTGCTCAAACTTTAATAATAGAATTTATAATTTCACTCAAATTTCGATTAGGTGAAGCGTTTATTTTTGCTGAACAATTTTACAAGAGTAATATTAGCATGATTGACAAAATTGCGGAATTGTCATTTCTGCGAAAATGGCTTTAAAAGTATATTCTTGCCTTTAATATGTATGGTATACAATACAAAGCGTATACCTGCAGCTATATTTTCTTTTCGAATCAAATTTTTGCGATAAAAGTGCGTCTTCCTGACTGACGACGGAGCGAACGTAAATGTTAAAAGGAAATCCGACAAGTAATAATATTCAAACAAAAGCACTTATATTTTCTTTGAGTTGAAATATGCTACACGGTTCGGCTGAGAGGGAATTGAACTACTATACCATGTTGTTAAACTGGTGGAAAAGCAAACAACGCTTAGGTACTTGTTCGTGCAAATATAAAAACCAAACTCGACATACCCGGATTTTATATAAAATATTTTTCGTTCGGTGTAACCGATAATTAGATTTTCTTCAATGTATGAAGCCGTTGATTTAGAGGTTTTTTGGTATATTCACAGCATCATGTTTGTCATCCAATGTATCAATTAGCAAGCATATCTTGTAAATTTGAAACGGAACACCTTACTTTCGTCCCTTTGTCATCCAATATTTTCCCTCTTCTTGTTATAACGATCGGTCAGGTATCTTATTAGTTGGGGATTGTTTGATGAATAGTCGATTAGTTTTGGAATTTCGGTCGTCCTCTGTTGTCTTTCTACACTACATCGTTTTAATTTGATCTCTCTCACTACGTTCATTGATTTTTTCCAAACAACCGTCAGTAATTTAAAATCAAAGAATAATTAATTGGCCGCAGGGGAGGAAATTTAAACAGGCAGAACGACAGAGAGTGCAGAGCTATGGTTGTAATTTCCGTCGACTCTGTCCTACAGTCACTCGACGTTATTTAGCCAGCCTAATTGCTAGGAGGCACGAAAATGTTTCTTCTACATCGACACGGCGGCATTCCTCACACACATATGCCCTTCCTTTTTGTTAATTACTGTCGCTGCGAATTCGGATTTTCCGCGATTTCGGCCGAATCGAAATTGCCCCATTAAATGGCGTTCTAATGACACTTGGCTTACTAAAAGGGGTTCGCGCGATTTCGGAATTCCTGGCAACTTTTGACCCGGCGCTTGCCTAATGGCGATTTATTTCGAATTAATGAAATTCTTTCGGCGGCTCACGTTATTCATTGTTCACATCGTGAATTCTAAATCTTTTCCCTTGACTTTAAGTTTATTTCACCACCAATTTTACATTGCTATTGACGTTTTATTTAGTTCCTGCTGTATGTTCATCATTATCAACTACCATTAGGGAAATTGAAGCGGGTTTGAAAAAATCTAATACACCTATTCGGATTACTTTTATAAATAATGTATTATTTTTGCCGACAAAAACTCTGTGGATTATGGTGTTTCCAAGAATTTACTACCGGCGATTGAATAGATTTATTTTTTTGTTCGACCAAATGAAGCAGATGATTATGGTGATAGACTTCCTGGGTTAACATTGGCGTGACAGTGGCTATTGTAAATAAAATAAATTGTTCGGTCATGCGTACAATTTCGGAAATTTTCCGCATAAAATTCAGCGGCATGTAAATCGAATTACGGTTTTTAACGCACATTTTCTATGAATAATTACTAAATGTTCGCATACATTTCGAGTAATTGCGTTATTTTGAACACAACAAGTTGATTGAATTATAATCACAATTAGGATTGAACTTTATTAATGCACGTTCACTTGAAATTAAGCAGTTGGAAAATTCGATAAACAAATCCGCGATTCAACCCGAGAGAGTGATCAATTTCAATTGTTCTTCTCTTTGAATTCGCAATTTCCATGATATTAAGTTGAATATAAGGTGTAGCTTTGGTAGTCTATCATTCGAAGACAGAGCAAGGCGTCATGTTGAGCTTGCGACGCCAAAACCGACATCAACTCGTCCGCATATTCCTTGATACACAATGCTCAAGAGAATTCACCATAACATTTGCATTCGTACTTTTTACCCGCAAGATTTTAAAAATTTAAATTTAATGATTGGTACATCGTGTCGTGCAAAAATAAAATCACAACTTACCGAATAATTCAAGAGACTTTGCCAGGAAAACAGGATTTCATTTATATGAGATGGTATCATCACGACGAAATTGAGAGCGTAGTTGTTCACTACTCCTTTGTGCACGTAGAAGAGCTCTGCATTGATACCTATTAAAGTAAAAATTTAATTAAACAATGAGCAAATAATTATTGTTAAGGCTATATACACTTGGCAAGTAGAATATTAACAGTATGTTATTATTTGTAGCTCCACCAATCTCTCAAAAAGTCTAGTCACTACTTAATAATCGTGCAGAAGTTTCTGTGCATAATGGGCAAGCATATAAAGCAATAACTTGAACAAAGGTGTAGTTATATCTGTTGATCTTGTTTGAGCTACTGCGAGGCGACGGTGTCGCCATAACGAAGTTTTAGACAATAATTCGAAATTATACAACTGAATGCAGATGTATTCGCAGATAAATACAAAATATTTCCATTGTATCCAGTGGTGAATTGTTTACGTCACGGTTCGCTATAATTAATGCAGGAACTATGTCGAATTTTAGAAGACAATGGCGTATGCGTTTTGATAGCGAATGTGCATTTATGTTGTCCGTGTCCGTTCAATTCGATTTGATCAGATTCATTTTAACACAAGTCAAGTCATTTCCGAATTTCTAAAATTTCTTGTACAGCAAGCGCGCAGTGAAATCAAACGAGTCTATTCAAGTTTCGTTCAATTTGCGTAAATATTTTAGGAACAAATGAAATAGGTGATACAATTTTGAGGAGTCCCGATGTAATAAAGAATGCCCGAATTGTACACTGGAGGATCAACTTTATTTATATTTTTCCTTAGTTTTGATAGGGATCTTAGAGTATTCGCATTTTTCTTGTACATCAAATAAAAGTTTTATAGGACTACGAGTTTAACGTCATGCTGTCGTAAAACGGTCCTGGATGGTTTGATGCTGTATACAACACTTCTGCGGCCCAATTTAAAATGAAACGGCGAAAGATCTACGCCTGAAAAGTTAATTTGTTCCGTGACAATTTTTCAACCTATAAATATTGTAGTAACCAGTACATTAATCAATAAGTGTAAGTTTACGAAGCGAAGCGTAGGCCTATGACGGATCAGTTTTCGCGAAATTGAAGGAATAAACGTGAGAAAATTCCAATATAAATCACAAAAAGCAACGAAGTTACAGCTGGGTACCGCGCTAGTCTAATTATTTTTATGAAGTCATTAATTGCCGTAAACTTAACTTTATGTTGTATATCAGACTTTTCCAGAAGTATAAAGATACAAACTTAGGGGAAATATAAATTATATTTATGAACTGGTTCATTATCTACTCGTAATATACACCGCAAGTTTATTAATGCTTACTCGAAATTTCTTTCAATATCTTACCGAAGAATAACGTCGTTACGTTAAATAAATTAGACCACAAATTTGACGTGTTCTACTCCATAATTTTGATTGATGGTGTCGTAATTCGAAAAGAGTATACGCTAGAAAAAATGAAATGCCAAATATTGATGATGAAATTGATGAATTGGTCTAAGTTGATCGAAATAAATATTTGATACAGTTACGGAAAAAAATTCAGTTGTAATATTTAAAATATGAGGTAATCAAGTTAGAATTTATTATCGATCGGTGCTGGAAAAGTAAAGTAATTCCGGCGAGACCGGAGCATTCAATTTGGGAGAACTTTTATTCAGCGTGGCCTAGGAATCCGGAAAGGTGGGAAAGTACAGGAAAGAGTAAATGTCGAGACGACAAACACTATATCAGCCGCCCTTGTCAACCTAGTCCACCCCCGACATGCAATAAACTGGGTGCGCTATTAGAACTAAAGCTTATTATTTTGAGGAATAAAGGAGATCACCCCGAAAGCTTTTCCTAAGTAATATCGCCTTGGGTGTATTATAAGGGTAAATAGCCTAATCGCAAGTTGTAAATTGCATTACGAACAAGATTTTCGAAAAGTACACAGAAAGGGAATTAGCCAAAATCCGGGATAATTTGATTACTTCTCAGCCCATTTCCATAAATTTCGTGTATACATAGTTTATAAAAGATAAACCATTAGAAAAAAAAATGTTTACGCTGTAATATTTTACATAAACATTATAAAATTAATGATGAACTGCAATAATTGATTAAAACAGAAAGCACTTAAACTAATTTTTATAGAGAGATATTCAAATTCAAATTAAACCTGTTAAAGGGCATATGTTGATTATATTTACAAATTTTTAATTTTAAGAGACTACCGAAATTCACCGGCTTGTTTGCATAAAACCGTTAGTATTACCCACATTACTAATATTAATTGAATAACACATTATTGTTAATTTGAGACCTCTGCGCTGCATTCGTTAAAATTATTCTCGTATAAAACACAGCGCCCCAGTTTACCATTGTTTTATGTTTGCCGTTGATAAAATAACTCGCAACGTTTTCATGCAGCAATTTAAATTTTATGCCGAAGGACTATCAACTTCACAACCACATTGTTGAATTGATAGATGTTGAACTTATGGACGAAAAAATCATTTCATTACATGCGATACTTTGTAATTAGCGATAAATGGGGGCGATAAAGTATTTCAACTTAATTGTAAACTATAAAAATGTTTTTATAATATAATAAAAAATGACATGTAAACACTACACCGCTCTATCACGTAAACACGGTGAACGATTTTCCAAAGCGAAGGGAATATTTTGAATAAGCTGCTTTGGAATAAACAAATTGGAGATGAGGATGAATTTTGGGAAATACTTACATATGTTATTAGTATGTACTAATAAGAAACAAACAAGGAAAATTCACTGGAATTACGAATTTAATCTTGATGACGAATGGGATTACGAATTACTCGTATTACATGAGATTTCTTATGACGAATTCACCTAGCGGGAAAAATATTTATTAATTATTATCGAGTTACGACTGACAGTTCGGAAAAGGGAAATTTGATAGGCTTGCCATCGGATATTCCATTTGTTATAACACATATCTGGCGATCAATTTGTCAGGAAGCGTTTGCCCGTTGAAGTCGGTATTTCTTTTTAAATTTACGCGTTTTCACGTGCATTTCATCGTTTCTAACAATGAATGTTTTCTTGAGCAACGTTTTCGAACACAAAGAATTTATTCGTTTCCATCAGTTTCTATCAGTAGATTTTTTTGTCGCATTTCGTGTATAAAGTGAGGAAATCTTTGTTGGGTTAATGTAATAGCTGGTAATAGTGAAAATGTTGGTAGAAGAGGAGAATAATGATGGGAAAAAATGTAACATTTTAGAGTTTTAGAATTTTATCAATTTCCTTTTGTGGCTGTAAGCTAACAAGCAAAAGCATAGTTCGTTACTTACATACAAGGGAGAAGAAATAGGAAAACTCCATACTTCTCAAAAGTGTATTATATAAATTGGAAATAAAAATAAAATGTGACATTACTAAAAGGTCAGTGGAGAGTGTAAAGTTATTGTTAATGTATCAGGACAAGATGAGGAAGTAGCTCTACGTTTTATTGTAGAATTTCAAAAAATTGCACGGGAGTTTAATGTTTGCTGCCGCGGTTCGCATGAAACATTTAAAACTTCAGCAGACATTTTTATTGTTCTACCAACCAAAAAGATGTTTACTTTTCATAAATGTTTCATTCGTATCATAATTTAAACAAAAGAATACTCTATTTGATTTGCTTGTACAGTTTATAATGTACGACATACATATGTATCTTTATTTTCATTCACTACCTATACGCTTCCATTCGAAAAGCTTTCGAACATTCAGCAAGAATTATTTACAGTGATTTCATATTCGAGAATTGCACGAGAAATTACTCGAAATATTTACTCAGACGACGAAAGTGATTTTTGAAATTTTATGTTTCCTTTATTCACAATTTTCTATACATCGCTTAAACTTTATGAAATATTTAAAGTTTGATTTACGAAGAAATGAATCAATTTATTATAATGAGGAATTTATGAATAAATATCATGGAGAAGTTTCGAGACTTTGAATTTGAATTTCAAATTAAAAAAATTCGGTTGGTATCTCAATAATTCGGTTCGGAGTAATTTACAGTTCTGTTTATCAGTAGATAAACCACTGTAATTTTTTTAAATCTGCGATAATATATGTTTTGAATACAATAATTTGTCCTCGGGGTAGTTTTATTTTGTAATAAAAGAGCTTTCGTTCATATTTTTTGCTCGTTTTTTGGCGCACCTAAAGGTTTCATTAAGCTGACGTTATTAAGTTAGCCGTAGTTTCACTGTATTAATTATTAATCGGAATATAATGGGTTCCGCTTTGAACGGAAAGTCGTCTTCAAGAATTTCCCTGTCACGATCAACATCAAACAAGTTATTTCATAAATACGACCGAAATATGTTGTTATTTCAGGAATGGCCGTGTATTAATTTACTATCACTTTTTAGAATCAGAAAATTAATGAAATTTTTGTGAACGTTTGATTCATCCATGAGTTGAATTTAAAAATTAAAGCACCAGTAACAAAACGAGGATTTAATTCGAATACTTTTCGTCGATGTCATTTTTAATAACACCTGGAAATGAAAAGAGGGAATTGCTACCGTGTTTGTGGCAGGTATTTTTTCGCCTGCATTCAGATCTTTTTTAGATTTCAATGAAATCGTTAATTGCTAGAACTGGAAAATTCTTTGCCTAACTATCCGTGTTTTAACGATATGGATAACGCACATTGCATTCGAATATGCTAATATTATTTTTCGATACGAATTTACTCTAGCTTGTTTGTCCATTACAGATCAATATACCAGCATAATGGGTTTTATCGTGTTTGCAAATATCCACTGGCTGTATAGCCGGACTTCCGGACCGAAGGGAAGATTTGTCTCGGAACGTATTTACGTTCGACTTCGGCCCCGAAGGAATAATTTCCGAATTTTATTTTTAAAACATTCCATTCCTTATTTTCGTTGTGTAAATATATCGAAACTTTCGCCATATTTCAACTGAACTAAAAAAAATATCAAGCATAATTTTCCGTTTTCCACTATCTGCGGCAATTCATCTTTGAAATATAACTCTAAATGTTTTTTTTAGTTGGAATTATTATATACGGTAAGACTTTTCAACCCCTCAATGTTAATATTTCAGCGCGAAAAATTTGCCTATTCCTCTTTGTGTTTTCCGAACTTTCTTCCCGGCTTTCTCATTTTAAACTCCACTCGATATTTGATACAATTTGTTTTGTTATTTATACGTAGATATAACAAGTATGCTTTTGTTCGTATGTGTATTTATTTTATACTATTTCTAGCCATAATTCGACATGGCATAAAAAACGCCTAGCGCCGACTTCAAAGGTACCGGTGCACATGGATGTACCGTTTTTAGTATCAAAATTAAATAGATTAAAGTATTAATTGGGTAATATTTAATCTACTCACTTTGTCAGTGAAATTTTATGTCAAATAAATTTTATAAGTTAAAATTAATAATTTTAAAAACAAGTAAAGTTTAACCAAGGCTTTGAGAAATCGCGAAAAATTTTCAGACCGCGCGAGCCACTGATCTAAGACAAACAAACTGAAGAGCGAAATTAATTAGATGAATATTTGGTGATTTACGACCGCGAGCCAGCTGCCGGTCCGAAATCGCGTGATCGCACAGTTGTAGAATTAATATCAACTATTGGTGAGTTGATGTTTAAAACTTAAGTGAGCCACATCAGCGCGGCTCAGCGGCTATACCGGGGCGATTCGCGCTTATTGGCAATGCGAGAGTATGGGTTTCTTAGCATTCTCGGCGCTTATAACACGATTTATTTCGCGTCCCCGGTACAACGGTCCAAATCGGATTAATATTAGAATCACTATACATTCTATCACAATGCCAATAAATTATGGCGGGACGAATAGAAATTTTGGTGAAGGTCTCAGGTCTTCGAATTTAAAAATAAATTCTCCATCAGAGAATTTCGTAATAGTTGAAATTTTATTATTAAAAAGTCATTAAGGGAAATTCTTGAATATATTTTCTTTGTGAGTGATTAATTTGCATTCTTTTGGAGTCGTTAATTATAACCGTAGGCGTTGTATTTCTCAAAAAGGTGGATATTTTAGTTGAAAGTAATTCGTACCGATTTAACCCCCAGAAGACCGGTTGAGGGAGATTGCCCCTTGCTCGCATTTAATGAGTTGTTTTCTCGCCTTCGTTTTTTTCTCTACAGTTTATGTCTGTAAATAGATACGTTCGTCTCATCAGCTTTCGTTTCGGTTTTCTACTTTGGCAAACGGAAAAATACACGCAATTCCCTCGGAGACCAATAACAATTATTTTCATTGTCACTCCCAATATAAATTTCTTTGTTCCGCCGCACATCCGCTTTATATTTGAAATTGAAAAAGTTTCGCGCGAAATTAAGGTGCGGGCTAAATCAAAATTAGGAAATTGTTCCGCCATTCTTTCTTTAATGTTGTCTTCTCCCTTTCTATGAAATTAAACGACCTGTGAAGTGATTATAATATTGCTAATCTCCGGGTAATTCAACTCCTTTTTGGCACAGAATTTCTCGTGTTTTTATTCAAAATGAATAAAAAAAACTAGATGAAAACCGCAAAAATTTCAGACTGGGATTTACATTTTAACTTCGTAATTAAAATTCGTTTATTCTGTAAATTAATTTAAAATTTTTAATAAACTTATATAATCTGTCAAACTTGTCTTGTCAACTGCAGATTTTTCTGGCATAAAATAAAGGCAAGGCCACGTTTTCTTTACTTTATGCCCAAATTCCCGAATCCTTCAACAGCACGCCTTTCCGTGCCTCGACTTTTTTCCTTCGTTTCCTTTCAAGTTAGTCCGACTAAATGGAAACTTATTAGTAATATTGGTCATTTTCGAATGTCGAGAACTGTCGGCTGCTCACTTTAAACGGATAAAATGCGAGTAATGAAACGAGACAGGGCATTCCTTTTCGTTTTAATGGAAGTCTAGACGAACTAAAGCCATTCTGTTTACCCGCAGATATTTATCTTATTGTTATTAGCTTCAGCGAGAGTGTATTTTGGGTATGTAAGTGTGTACAATTCATTGAGTGTAGTAAATAAAAATATATTAATCGAGGAGCAAAATTTCAAATATAAATTATTGCTACTAATGATTTTCAAGAGGGCGTCGATCTAACAAAATAAGGTAGAATTAAATTAAATTTTTAATGAACAAATATTAATACATATATGTACATGTAAGGAAATATAATTTGCACCACTACAATTCAATTTAAATTTTGATGTGGCTAAAAAACAGGATAATTTTTCTTTTAAAATTCTTTTATAAAAAGGGATTTTTTTATCACTCTGTATATACGCTTTTATCAATATTAAAAAACCATTTGGGTATGCTGGACGTTATAATAAAATAATAAAAGTCTATTATCGATTACCTATACTTACTAATATGTTTGGAAAAGCATAAAGTAATTAGAATGGTTCGGAAATACTGAAAGATATATGGTTTTGTTTGAGGAAAAATGAGTCATTAACTACTTATTAAAATTTAAAGGAGATTAATAAAGTGCTTTTTCCTCGCTTATGTACTTAGACTCGTTCTTTACAAAGAGTTACTTACACTGCGTAAAAAGTTTCAGGGTGTAAAAATTTTACATCAAAAAGTTGGACGTGCATGAAACAGATTTTTTTTACAATCGAATTGAATAAAATCGATTGATTTACATGCAAATCAATTAAAAAAAAATAACACATAAAGCAATAAAATTTCCGATAATATAAAAAAATATAAAGCATTCAAAAAGTACTACACGTAAACGACAACTGCATGTTAGAAACCAAAGTCCTACCTAGGAGCTTGAGGACCTCGTCTTCGGTAATGAAAAAATTGAAATGAGCGTGACTCTCGACGACCACGAGGACCGCAAGGAGCAGGATCTCACTCCGCATGGCTGGCGTCGGGTAATCGAATGCGGCACGAGCCGCTTACTAACTGAAAAGCGTCGCCGCCACCGCTGCCGCCTGTGGACCTTTGTAAACGAGGCGCCGAGCGCCGCCAACAGGCGATGCGCATCGACGGATTTACTGGCGAATAACAATTTTTCCGACAATCGAAAATTCCTAAAATAATGCAAATCGAAAAAAAAAACAACCAGCAAATCGATCATTTCAAATTTCAAATTTTTGTAATGCAAAAAATGATTCATCTCATTTAAAAACAATTAATATCGGTGAAGTTGAGTTTAATTAACGAAAACGATAAACCGATAAATCTATTTTTCTAATAAATGGATGAATCGATACCTATAGCCATTTTGGAGGGTTGTCGACTGAAGAGAATGTTTAATATTAAATCCGTGATGGAATTTAAAAAACATCTTAAGTTACGGTCGGTCTTAATAGAACAGCGAATCATTTATTCTCATTACATGGGAAAAGCGTTGTAATGCATTTTTGGAAGCTCCTCTATCATCATTTGCTTATCATATATTTCCATTTGGGACGGTTTATATTGGATGAATTTTTTCTTCGGATTGTTGGAAATTTATTTTTTGATGGAAATTAAGTTTGGGCAATTCGTCGGTACGATTACTGCGAATAAATTTCCGATCGGTGGTGGCTTGAAAGTATTTGCTTGTACGATTTAACGTCGCCTGGGAGATGGTTCTCTTGTATTTTTTCATTATTAGCCCGTGATTTATTGGAATGTGAGACATATTGATGTCCTTTCGTTCGACCTTTTTTCGTTAGATTGATTGAAAGTCCTGTTACCTGCTTAAAGTTAACGCATTCAGTGATAATAATAAAACACGTTCGGATTCCTTTTTTTCTAACAATAACGTAAATATCACTTAACATGATCTTTGTTTTCCAATTTCATTATTCTTCACACTTACCTGTTTCCTCTAATAAAAAGGGTCCTGAAGGCATGGCAACCCGACGAACGAAAGTTAAATGAAATAATACCGAACGAAACTTTCATAAAATTACTCCGACTTACTAATTAAAAAATAACGATGTGGCAGAAAATTAATATTACCCAATAGTACAAATTTCTACCCTCAGTAAAAATGCTAATGAATTTATTATCAGAACATATTCGTTAAAGTAGAATTTTATTAGAACATACGGAAGTTTACTACAGGAACTGTCAATAAAAACGTCTTGGTTTTAAATAGTTGCTAAACTCTAGAAAGTCGAGGAAAACAGGTGATAAAACCGTGTGCAGGTAATATTTAAACCGGCTAGTCGGTAAGGAATTACTCGGAGAAAAAAAACTTAATACCACAACACACATACACACACACTCTGCTACCGCACAGGTTGTTAATTCTCCTTTATTGTCCAATCTACCTTAAGGACATTGAAGAAAGTTCAAGGAAACAGTCGATACAGAGCGCACTCGGAGTCGTAAAATTAAATTGAAGTTAACAAGCCGAAATAATAATAAAAATGTAATACTTGTGCTAACTATCCGTGTATTAAAAAACCCGAATCGACAAAAGATTATATTTTTGTAATGTAGTGTTTTCTCGAGAGTTTGTTTTTATTGATTTTTGGCTTTGAATTAAATAATTTGTTTTCGGAACTTGGTGCAATTTTTAACCTGCAAGGCTCGCAGGAGAAACTGATATTTTTCAATTATTTACGTGTTTACTTTTAATTAAAAATTAATTGAATTAAAGGGGCAATGAATTCTTAATTTAGTCCTCTTTTTAGTAATCTAAACTTCCAACGAAAAAGTTTTAAACTTCAGCATTACCGTACATTGTGGAATTAATGGATATTTAAATAGATTCCAAAAATTATAGCATCTATTTATTTTGTTCAAAATAATAAATTTTGTAAACGTAAACATATAGACTAACTTTATAGCTTGAATGACATTGGAGGAGATAAGTCAACTTTGTATCGAAACTTCCAAACTCTCAACTCGCGAACCCTTCGGAAAAAAAATCGAAAATCAACCGCCGTACGTTAAATAAACTTTCGTAAAATTTCCTATTAAGTATCCGAAGCGTACATTTTCCTGTTTACGTATGTGCTTGCTTCGCCTCCCCTTTCCGTTTAGTTTTGAATTAATTTTACAAAATTTACGGATATTTTAGTTAGGTACAAACAAATACAGGTGGTGTATTCCCACAGATCGACGGCTCACCTTATGCATAAGAGGGACAAGAATAACTTCACGTCCCCATCGTAAGCTCATTAGAGCGTCGGTGACAACAATATCATATTCTAATGACACGGATCGGCTACTGTGGTGTTAGTGATGGTTTTGTCTCCATGGCGACGGCATCTGCAATTTTGAAACCGGAAACGGGGCTTTTGTTGCCTACATTTTAAATTACGGTTTTTATTGCAAGAGGAGTTTCAGAATTAAAAAAATAATTTGGCAACAGGTAATGCCTAATAATTGTTTTATAAATTCCCATCTCGAGAGATGTTCGCATTGAATGCGCATCATATTTCAATTTTAGTGTTTTATCTGATTAGCCATTACGATTTGTTATTCGAAGAGACAACCAAATGGGGAAGAATAATATTTTCCGGAATGGTAAAGTCAATAAAATCCTTCCCCTCAGCGATTCAAAAGAAACAGATATTATACACGAAGTTTTCATGCCGATGAATCACCGGAATTCATTTCTTGTAGATTTTTTTCGGATTTTTTGCAAAGTGCCACTGAATGTTTTCCGTTGAATGGCACCCTAAAAGTGTCCTTGACGCCGTCGAATCCAGTGTACGTCAACACCCTCTGTTTAAACGCGAAAATTTTGATGTATATAAGTACCCTTCGGATATCTTTTGATATGAAGGGGGGCGTCGGTTAATTTCGTTTTGAGTGATTTCCCCATTCAATAAACGGTTTGTTGGAAAGGACTGAATTTTTAATCTCTAAAAGACCCTAGCCTTGTAAGACGTAGCCGCGGGCTAAATCTCTTATGAATTTGTTTTTTAATAAATTTCTTGTAAAATCAACCTTTTCAGAAGGCTATGAGCGCAGAACAGGATAACTAAACAAAGTTTATTTCCAATATTTTTTAAAGATGCCCGTAAGTAACAGGAATTGTTCCACTTTCATATACCATTAACATCAGGCCTTAAATTAAATTTCAGATCATAAAATATGGTAAATATGAAGTGAAAGTTTAAACAATATAACCACCTAAAAGAACTAGTTTTTAAATAATTCAGATAAAGAACTACAATAGGATTTTATTAGCCTGATGCTAATTAGAGAAAGTTAGCGCTTCGTAAAAATATTTGCATACAGCAGAATGGTCGGTAATCTCAAAATTGGGCTAGTCGGTATAAGAATGGAATAATACATCAATTGGCTTTTTGGCCTCTTTTGTACACAATGGTATCATTAATTAGTATCTTTTATCTAAAACGCATATGAAAATTGTAAAATCTGTTTAAGATGACCTGAAATGGGTATTAATTAAACAAGTGTAAAAAGAGATTGACAAATAATTTAATCAGGAATGGTTTTACATTATGTGATTCTGAAATGAAATAAATAAATAAATAGAAACACATGTAAGATACATTGATAGCTAAAAAATTCAAAACAAATTGAAGATTTTTTATGTTATTTTTCTATATTTTGAGTATTTTTTATAATCGTTTATTTACATGTGAACTATATTCTAACTACAAGACTAGGATCTGCCCTTTGAATGATCGATAAATTTTTCGGGCAAATAAACAGGTATTTGTCATGATTTATAGCGTCCTATAAATAACGTAACATAATTCAATTTTCATGAAAAGTGTGCAATTAAAAATTGATACAAATTTCCCAACAAAGAAGATTTATCTGATTTAACATGCGAATTGCGCTACGTTAAGATGTTATTTATGACGTTTCAGTCAATAAAAATGTATCCACAACAAACAAACTTTCGATCAATATAAAAACTTACTTTTTTATAAATAATAACACCTAAATAAATAACTTACTTAACAACTAATGCTTGGGTCATGCTAACAAGAGCAGAATAGAAACGCAATGCCATTGCTAGCACAAAATGTTTGACAACGATAAGGTGAGCTAATAAATGAGTAAGGAGATGGCGGAGCGAAGAGAGCTATCGTGAAATAACTCATGTTAACCCTTTTCAAATCTGAGATGTGTAACTCCTTACCCCATTTTAATCCAGTAACGCTTCATAATGATTTCAAAACCTAATCATTGTCTATTTGAGCAAAAATTAATAGTGACAGCAGAATTGAATTAGGTTATCACAAGCAATTTCGCGTGCGAGTGTGTTAAAAAAAAGACTAGGAATGAATGAAGGAAATGGTAGGATACGTTTAGGTATGTCGCCCTGCGACTACTACAATCACTCGCGTCAATTACTCGATAAACCTGATCATCTTTGGAACTTTCAGAAAATGCACCTACCATGAACGTGTTTTACAGTCAATTTGCCACTTTCACGAATTCGGCGTTATCGTATCCGCGAGCACCGACGAACGTTTGGGTAATTCCTTTCCTATCTATAGCGCGCACTCGTACAAATAAGAACGCCGCTACTAAACTTGCCACTATTAAAACCAGCAGGAGCATCACTAAACCGGCTACGAAACTTGGAACTGACATACAAATTGTTTCTGGATCTTGCGAAGAAGCCGATTGTATGACTACGGTTTCGTTGTTTTGAGCGGCGTTGAGGGCGAAGTTCACATCTCCTGGAGCTACTACTTGAATTGTTCGACTAGTATTCACGTCGGTCATTTCTTGAGCCTCCCGTTTGTAGACGTGACTGACAACGACAGTCATGACTTCTGGGCTACGTCTTCTTCTGACTCCTTGTAACTCGGCGGGAAGGTTTTCAACTGATCTAGGTCGGCCACCTAGAGTAGCCAAATTTCCTTCGAATTCTTCGGCAATGTTGCTCTTCCTTTTAACAGTGTTGTAGATACCATGGTGACCGGGTGGAGGTGGAGGCGGTAAGTGGATTTCATTACTAGCTTGAGCTGATGCCTGAGGAGCTGGTGATGAAAGATTAGGAGGGTTGGATGTGGAAGATGATGAAGTCTGAGCTTGTGGTGCAGGAACAATGTCGGCGTTTTGTTCCGAATATGCGCCTGTTGGTCCAGATGGATGTCTTGGATCAGGGAATGCAGGTGGCAGCCCGTATTCGCTTGATGGAGGTGGTCCGTACTCACCACCGAGACTACCATGCCCTCCGAAGTCGCCGCCTCCAAGAGCGTTCGATAGTGCCGGTGCTCCATATTCACTAGTTAATCCTAGACCGTGTCCACATTTTGGTTCCGGGCAATTATATCTGCATACTTGAATTACGCATTGGAAATGAACATTCATTGAATCCGGGAATTTGAATGCTTGGAAATAAGCGAATGATACTACTGAAGCAGACGGTCCGAAATTTTTGATTTTTTGGAATTTGCTCATAATCTTAGGTCTGACTACGCAACCGTATTGATCAACAAGTTGTATCGGTGCTCTCTTTCCATCATGAGCTACACAATTTCTCACTAACATATCGAATTTATTTTCGTCGTCTTTTATTGCCAATACCATAGTCATTGTTTGACCGATTTTAACGATTCCGGATACCTCAGATGCCCAAGGACCTTTACCTACTTGAATTTGCATCCAGCACTGCAGGTTGTCTCCAAGAAAGTTCGCAGTTACGGCGTGCAACATATCCACTTGGAAGGGCCTGAATGTCACAGCTTTTTCATAAAAGTCATACCAGGTGCATCTCAATTTTCGAGCTTGGTCCCACACTTCTTGTACGTAAGGGTCATACTGGATTATTATAGTATTCTCCACGTAACTACCACTGGGTGTGGGCCCACCGTAACTTGCAGCGTTGTGATTTGCCGATGAAGACATACCACAGCTGTTCAGGAATATTTCAAAAGTCGCACTCAAATGTCCTGTGCCAGGTTTCAAATGGACACAATGCGAATCACTATAGAATCCCTTGGAAAATATCATTCCATAGAATGGTCGATCGAATTCGATGTTAACACGCATATGGGTCTTTTCGCACTGCACTTGCAGGTGCTTAATCTGAGGCATATCCGGCGTCGCTAGAGGCCATGGGTCATCTCCTCCGCCACCTCCACCGCCGCCGCCGCCACCGCCCCCGCCTCCGCCTCCTCCAAGAAGTCCTGCCGGAAGGTATCCAGGGCCAGACAACGGAGGGCCGTATACTGCTCTGTGTTCTAGCGGCAAGGATGCCGAATCTGAGAGTGGTGCATCACAGTTAATTTCCTGAAACAATCGTTTTATATTAATTATCAATTGTGAAATGTATGTGTAAAAGAATTTGCAATTTAATCTATTGTACTGGTTCATTGAGAATATTTATGAAGTTATGAAAAAAAAAATGATGAGACTGGTACCCGCACGGTACATGTGCAATTATTTATGAAATTGCAGCTTTCTATAAACTTTCTTATTTATAAAAACTATTGTGCAAGTATGATCTTACCCCTAAAGCAAGTAATACAGCCAAAATTCCTAGAACGCCGAGCGACCTTGTCATGATGTTCCTTGTGCCAGTGTTCAGCCGTTATATCGTTTCTGTAATGAAAATTATGAAAGCACCTTGACATTGAGAGTCTAAAGCAGATGTAGCGAGGTACACCGCACCTCTCTGCACCTGACAGACTATGGCCTACTAACACACTCCGTAAGCACAGTTCAGCGTCCTGCATCATAAATACATCTTCGATTTATCTATCGATGTGTTTCTGCTAACTCCGTGCCATTGATATTTTTCCGTACGTAATTTAATTAAATTTCTGCATTCGAAACGAGAAGACGAGTCTTGGATGATTCCTAGTCTACAATTCGAACCCTGCTGAGTCAACAGAGGGCGAATTAGATCCAAAGGGTTAGGGTTTGATTACGAATTGTGGTTTTTCAATTATATATGTACGTTATCTTCTCACTTTGGTTGTTTACTTCAAACGAAATCGATATTCGTAAAATAAACGACGGGGTTTAAAACAATCGTTGAAGCTGACTAGAGTTGTCTTCATTATCTCTGTTTTTTCTTTGGTAACATTTAATTTTTTTGTTAAAATTAGATTAGATCTTCGAAATTAATTTGTTCAACCCCTGGTTACACAGACGTGTCAAATCTGATTACAAATGATTGATACTATATAGGGCGTTTCTCATTTTATAGACTTTTTTGAAAAATTGTAGATTAAAAATTAAAAAACAAATTGGATTAAAATGGATCTATTCTTATCTATAAGTGCAGATAAAGTATAAAGTTTAATGAAGAATATAAAATTTTTATTAGAGTATTTTGTAGCTTACTATAAGTGTCTAACAATGCTTGTTACTAAATTTTATATTTACATAAATATAACATTCATTTCAGTTATAAAAATGATAATTAAAACAATCGAGTTCATCTACAACAAAAATATAATGAACAATAAAACATTTAATTAATTCGAAAACTAATTAAACAACACTTGGCCGAAGCGAGATTTCTTTCTAATAATCCGTTTCTCTAATTGTAAAAGTGCGATTTTATTTATGCGATTTTTTTGAAACTTTCTCTGTCCAAAAGGAGATCCGAGCGGTCGTTAACAAAATCAAACGGATCGATAAAACAACTTTCGTAGATAGTTAGATCGTTTGCGCTACGGCCGGCATTTGATCTACACATATCGATGAGGAGAGTCCTACTTTGCTAATGGTCGAGCGCCGCGGCCTTGCGTTATCAGTCGCTCCAATAAATAATAAGAGAAATGCAGATGCCAAAGCACTCAACCAAAGTGTTATCTATTTTTCATCATTTCGTCGACCGACATTCCTGTATGTTAGAAAGTAGCACAAGTGCTCTCGTATTTTTCTGATCTAATACTATTGCCGTCCACATTAATAAAACCTGATTTTCGAAACGTCCAATTATGGTTTTTGGTTACACGCTTCGTAACGCAATTTAACATACGTATACAACTTCGATTCGTATAGTCATTAAATTATGAATTGAGCATCTATGGTATTCTGAACCAATCCTCGTCTATAAATTTTTCCGACTTCTTTAATAATGAAGCGGAAAAAAACGATATTTTGTCAACAGGCCAGAGCTTTGAAAATTTGATATTGTTGGTAAAAGGATAACCTTTAAAGCAAAGTTTAATAACTGGGGATAAAAGAGATGTGCTCTCGCATTTAACAGGCATTAAACAGGAAGTTTTATGAATAAAATAATTCCCGACTCGTAGCGGATTAATATTTGATATTCAAATATAAAACGTAGGAGAATAATGGATACGAAAAACTTCCAATTGTGACTTTTTAATTCGGAATGTAACTTTATTTAAAATGTACAAATTCGTTTAAAATTCGTGACTGAATAAAATTATCGAATTTTTTTGTTAAGGTTAATTCATCAAAGACCTTCTAAATATTCGATCTTATTTAAACTAAGTATCTGCCATTAAAATCGTTATATGACTTATTCTATTGTTCCTCAAATCAAGGCACGTTTTCTCTTTTTTCTTATTGTTTTGAGGCAGGAGAGTTGAACAGCCACCAAAGCCTGACAAATATTGTGACAAAAATTTAGAAATCGTGAATTTCTATAATGAAAGCAAAAACAATGTTAATAACATAAAGTTATGAAACAATAATAGTTATGAAGACATGTTATGAAAAAATAATAATTCAAATAAACTTATTATATGCTATTATGAACTTCTAAAGGAAATTTAATTACGAGGGGAATATTATTTTCCTTCTTTTTAGTTAATTACTGAAATTATCGTATTAATATTAGTATTATCTTATAGCTTAAATGCTAAAATGATACGCTCTAATAATGCTACACTTCGAGTTCGTGTTTAAGACAATATCATTTTTATTGACTATATTAATAACTCAAGTGTCTATAAGTTACTTAAAATATTTTTCCACAAATATTTAGTGGAAATAAAAATGTTTTAGAAAACTCTCCGATATAGGAAAAACATAAATTTATTACAAACCCAATGGATTGTACGAACATTCCTATGTAATATAATTTATTTTGTATCCAGGTCGTGTGTTGTTCCAGTTTTTGTCAAATAAAAAAGGAACATTTTTGGTGAATGATTGTGCTAAACACTATAACTACAGCAACTATTAATTTAATGCATAAATGAACAACTTAATTTAAGCTAAAATAAGAATTATGTATAGTATATGCTTGTTATCTTGGTATCCTACTAAAAATATACAATGTCAAATATATAAGTCAATTAAATACTGTTGTTAAAGAATTCGACGCCAATGAAAAAATAACAAATTAAAAGACTTAATTTTCTCACATAAATTATAGTAATTTTCCCGAACAACAGTTAAAGCAATTATAATAATCTAACAACATTATCAACCGGCAGCCTCCATTATTCATATTTAGGAAATAATTTTTTAATGCTCGCTATTATGAATCAAATTTAATTAAAATAATTCTCGGTCTAGAATCCATACTTTCTAAATACTAAATTGGTCCTTCTTCGCGAAATTAATTTCGCGAAATTCTCGACGTATCATTCGTATTAAAAATGCAGTAGGAAATACCGCAGCAGGAAAAAAACTCCTGCTACGTTAAACAAGGTGTGCGTCTCGATAATTATCACCTGCAATATTTGTTGTATTTACGTCGCGCGCCACTGCGAGTGTGCGCGAGGAAAGCCCATTGACATACTGCCTCGCTTTCATTTCTACTGTGTGCTCAATATCATATCTTATACACAGCAGATCAAAACAGTCGGTAGCCATCTTCGTTTTTCCGATGGATACCAGACCGGAGGCGAAACGAGGCAACGCTTATAACTTACACACTAATTAATTAATGCCGAATTTCTGACACTCGTAATTAATTTCTTCGGGATGCGTTCGAAATTTACCTATGGCTTGTTGTGGTCAAATTTTCCTCGGAGATGTTGTACTGAAGATGTTATGCAACTAGGTTTTAATTGCTCATAAACATGATTTATTGGTCTTTTTTAATTAGTTTTTTTAGAACGGAACATCTTGTTTTCTTATAATTAAAGGTTCGTTACTCAAGAACGCCGGTAGGGAATTTCGAGTCTACTAATGACCTTGGTCTGCTGCATTAGGTGAAGGTCGGGACTTTTAATAGGGCGAATCACTAACACTGTGCTTACGATTCTTCTTACAAAAATTTACCGATTTACTGATCGACTTACTTCGTTATATAATCCAATAAAACAGTCATTAACCAAAAACTGCACCGAATGTAATAATAATCCTTATTGCACTAGTCCATGCACAGAAATTAAAACACCAAAACACTACGCTACACGCAAGAACCCGTCAATTCAAAAAATGAGTGCAAAACATAACGTGTGGTTGAATGAAAAGTAATACACCTAAAATGTTCCGTTGGTTTTATATCGACGTGAAAGTTAGCCCCTCTCTCTTCGATGAAGAGTTACTAGTGGCACATTGTTCGAGGCTTTCTGAAGAGTCCGGATCCGACCATTGCACGGTAATTCCGGAATTTCGACGCATTTGATTCACTTTCTTTTAGTTGACGCGTTGGTGTTGCACAATTTAACCGATATCCGCCTTTTTCAGTTCCAACCCCTCGGCATTCCAATTAAGCTTTCAGTCGTTTTTTTTCAATTGTACCATTATTATCAAAATTCTATAAAACATACACAAACAAAAGATATTTTGAACCGGAAATTAATCAATTATTGGAATACTTTCAACATGTAAAACCTAATTAAGGGCAACATATAGTCCCTTGAGTAGTGAAACTAATGCAGTGCAAATAATGCAAAGTGCAAAATCGCATTTATATCCGGTACAATTTTTCACATCAGAGTTTAGTTTTACAGACCGGGGGATTATTATGCACTGAATATTACATCCTAGATTATTAAAATATTGTTATTAATTTTTTCAGGCCTTACATTTACTTTATTGTGTTGATATTATTCGGTGCGAAAATCAATTTTCCACCGGGAAAAGCGGAATAATTTGATAAATTTAACTGGTTTGAAACAATGTGGTTACAGTTGTGATTGACGTATCCAACCGCCTTTTAGTTCCGAGTTTCGGTGAATTTACAATTAACTTTCAATTTGGAGATCTGTTAGTTAATTGACAATACGCATGTTCGCGTATTAGGGAGAAATAATTAATTAAAAACGTAATGTAAACGATCCTATTTTTAATATGTTTGCGATAAGGCTAATTGATGTGGGCAATTCTTGTCCTCAAACGAGAAAACAATGTTGCAATCTACTTAGCGATTTAATCCATTTTGTTTGTAATGAGGGAGTTGCGGTAATGTAAAATAGCTTATAATCAAGATTTCTCGATTATTACTGATTATGCCTACTTTATGCTTCAGTGAATTTAGTTTTTTCTTTATTTGTTTTCGTTGCATTATTGTGATACGTAATGATCAAAAACGATTCTAAATATTTGAGGAATTTGATATATTTTTTATAGCAGAAGGAATGATTGTCATTTTTGGCACTTATTTAATATTTTTCCGAACTTTCATTTGAAAATGCTAGTTTAGAAAAAGCTAATTACATTATTTTCTGTATTACAAATTTCAGTGAGTTTCTTTTTTCTGTTGATTTGAAAATAAGTGATTATCTGCTGATTTGTAATTCTGTATTTTGCTTTTTAAAGCGACGCCGACATGAAATGCAAAATCGTAGATATATTTGTATAAAACAGATGGCAAAATTCTACGACATAAATAAGTACGAAAAAAACGTTATGCACCTCTCTAGTTTTCAAATTTCTTTTGAACACACTTAGATTAACCATCTGTTCTTGCGTATGTGCTAATATTTTGAGGTCATCCTCAGACGTTTTCATCTTAAATTTTAGTGTTTTATCGAATTGTTAAAGGGAGCATTAAAGCTAAAGCATTGATTTTTATTTAACAAACCTTCATGTCCACGCGGATTTACCAATATGTTTCGAATGCTTGGAGATAACTGAAAACTTCAAATACCAATTTTCTGTTGCCGAAACTTTTCCATTCTCCCAGATCCGGGTGTTATCATCGAAAAATTCATTGAAATTCAGGCGACGTAAGTAATCCCTGTTAACGTCGAATGAGTTACATAACAGTATGACTAAGGTATTGTCACATATATATGTTAAATTTGCGTCATATTGTTTCGCAGCTTTCACTAGTTGATATCATATACCCATATCGTTGCACCCGGATGCGAGAAAGTCGTCTATGGAACCGTAAACTAAGGCGTTTTAACTTTAAAAATTCATTCATTGAATGCTCCAACGCATCCTTTTTTTGTTTAATTCGAGAAAGAAAGTGGTTAAGAAGGATGTCATTGTTTTATATTTGAAAATAATAAAACGCCTAAACAACCGATGAACTTCATAAAGAAAGGCAATTCCACAAAATCCCTGAAAAGCAAAGTCGAATACAATTTTTTACACAAAACAAATGTCTCCAACAATGAAGTATTAAACCAACAAAATAAAAAATACGTGTTTATTTTATCAACTAATAGTTCAGTTATTTAACACTGAGGAATGTAGCAAACATTTACTTAAACTGATTTGTTTTCGAATTTTTTTAGTGGAATTAAGAGTAGCTCGTTTAATAACAGCGTGCTAATGAATCAATTAAATAATTAAAGCCATCTTTAAAGTAGATTCAGAGAAAATATCAAACGAATTAATTTTTATAACTGCGCGAATCGGTGATTTTAGGTTACTTTCTATTCCGAGAGTCCCGTGCTTCGCAAATGTTATTGAAAATGGTAATGGCTGATATAAAATAATTTTAAGCGTAACTGGAAGTGTATATTAAGATGAATTCAGCCTAATAAAATGTTGATCGTTAATCACCGAGCAACGAAAGTTATTGTCGCCTAAATTATTTCGATGGCTTCTAAATTTACATATGCGAGGTTTATGTGAGAATCGTAAACAGAAATTGAACTAGATTTGTTTACCAAAATTATTACTCGTAATGGTTTGTACATTTTCACTATTTCCTGAAATGATAAATAACTTTCAGTGTTAAAATAGTTTTTAATATCGTAAATACGATGTACCAATTAAGTAAAGTGTTACAGTTTATTTGGAACATATATGACGTTTGTCCATTCTCTTACTGCAACAAAAAGCACCATTTTCAGTTGTGGGTATAACATTTAAAAAGTTAATATAGCTAGTTTGGATCCTTTACGGTATTCCATAGAGCAAGTAACCCGAAATTGCCTATGTAAAAGCTCACTTTAGGCGCCTAAGTATAATACACTTTTATATTTGGAAGTTTTAAGTTGAAACACCTGAGCTGTTAAATATTTCAGGAAACTACTTTTTAGGTGCTTGAAGTAATTTTACACCTTCGCGAATTTTACCGTTCCTTAATTTTCTATTAAAGCCGAATTATGTAATAAGTTTGTTAACAAAAAGTTTAAGAATCACTTGAAGTAATGTATAAACATTAAGTTCGTGCTCTCTTTTTCCGAGCAATGCGGACTTATAAATGCATAAACCTATTAAAATTATATCTCTATGGTTGAAAGACAACTTAAATGTATATTAATTACGGTGAAAGTACTGCATTATTTGCATTGAAATTAATTTGTTTAAATTTAGGTTAATACTAATTAATATTATGAATTTGAATAAAGCAGTCGTTTTTCTGTAAGAAATATTGATCATATTCGTGTAGCATTGGAGCAATTATTCAGCCATATTAAATTAACCCTTATTATCTCGCGTGTGTTTATCCTAACTAGAATGATTAATATGACTAATAGGTAAAAAGGATGTGTAAATTAATTTACATCTAACTTCGCATTGAGATTATATAATCTCGCATCTCGCTAAAGTGCATTCTATTTGTGCACTGCATTTAACTTCTAATAGGCTTAAATTACACAGAATTAAGCAATTTCAACACGTGATTATCACAGTCTCTCGTATGTTTGTATATTACATTTCAGCATGGCATCAATGCGAAACTTATTAATCTATCCTTCCTATCAAACTATAACAGTTTTCCGAAAGAAAGAAGAGGGTTAATACGTACGTACAACATACATTTGCCCTTAGGCATCCCTTACATTCATCCCTTAGGCACCCTTATGGACTTCTTGATAGCACTATTGAAATCCAATTATTAATTGTTTCATTATTTAAGCAATATTTTTCTCGAAATCGGATATTAATTATGCGATCTATAGATAGCTAATATGTATGACTGCACTGATCTATAATTGTATTGTTAGGTTTCTAATTGGAGAAACGCTTGAAATATGACTTATTTTGGAAATTAGGACTCGATATATTGTTTTCGATAAAAATCTTTGTTTCCTACTAAGCACATGTCGCTGTTTTCAGCTCGTATGTTAAGGCGTTATTACCTAAATTTAACACTTAAGATTTTATTTATGTCTCTCAGGTACTATAAATCAGTTAAGGAATCAATTACTGCATATATATTCGGATTTATTAATTAAATTTTTGATAAATTGGAAAAATATATTTATTATTCATAGAGTTAACACGAATAAAGCAACAAATTATAATAATGTTAATAACTGTCATTGGAAATGAAGAACTATTTGATTTCATGATGGCACAGATTTTTAAACATTTTTTTGTTAAATTGGATAAATTCACAAATTTAATTCTATTCCTAATGCCTTCTGTTTTTTTTGTTACCTCAAAATCAACGTCGACGTTCATGACTTTCTTCAAGGTTAAAGATCGCAATTGCCTCAAATAAGTAGAAATAAAGCTATTTATGCAGGATTCGTATTTGTTGGCAATGGTTTAGGTCAAATCGTGCTTCTTTATTTTATATTTACAACAAAGAGAAAATTAAATTAAAGAAGTACATTCGGATTGAATTGAACCAATTAATTGTGCGGAGACTTGTTGATTCGATTAAATGATTATTTTTCTCGCGAATCCTGAATTATGCAATATTTTTCGATAAAATGCAGCACGGTCGACTCCGAGGTGCAACTGAACTAAGTACGATTGGTGTTACTGGTTCGTTTGCTCTAAGCGCAGTATTTAGTGTCAAGCGATGACCCACATTCGGCTTCCTCTTCGAGAGAAAGTTCCACATGTTATCCGAGTATAATTGAGAATTCTTTTTCCCTTTTATTCATAATATCCAGCTACAGTCGCCGTATAATTTCATTAAAGAAACAGTCCAGCATATGTATTTGTTTAAGCATTGTTTCTATTTACATACAATGTTAATAAGTAATTGTTGGATATTTAAATTAAAAAAAAAGGTCTAGTGAATGCCTAGGTACGTTGAAAATTTGGCTAATGTTGATTGTAATACGTTTGCATTAAACATTACGATTATATCGAGTTTAATTTGGTTGAATAAATTTAAAAAAGAATGACGGATTCCTGAATTTTGGCGATTCATTATACCTATACTCTTGCGTCATTCATTTGGTATACGGTTTTTTATAGTTAACTCAATTTTTCATGTTAGAAATAATATCTAATTTTTAGCCTTTCACACAATTAACTGATACAATTTCAGTTATTCAAACCCAGATTTGTTGGATTAGTATTTGAAACAACATTAAACTAGTTTGATTAAATTCGAGTAGTCGCTTGGTTACGTTTCGTTGGCCTTACCAATTGGTTTTACAAGTCGTTTTATTTTAGACAATGAAGAGCAAAGCGATGGGCAGTGGCGAACCGTAAGGCAAAATGACCTACCTACACCAATTATTACATACCATCACTTTCTCTATGTTCGTTTGTGAGCTTTTTCATTTGGCACAATTATACAGGGTAGTTCATCTCCGTCTGATTTACTATTCATATATTTTTTTCTCCGTCTTCTTGCCTTTCAAATGGCATTTTTAAATATCCCTGAAGCGATAGTAAATTACGTATAGCTTCGGATCAAAGAATATCATTTTTCTTTGTCCACTTTAGTCCCGGTGTCATATTCGAGCTTTTTTTATTCGATACGGTCTCATATTGAATTTTATTCAGACTCACCTGTCACATATAAACGGATTCGGGGATGCGAAAGAGAATATCTTTATAATATCGATACTGGAGAGGGTTTTTATTGTATTCGATGGTAAGGAACACCGAGCTTACGTCTAAGACGTTTTCCTTCCATGTGTGTGCATTTTGCGAGAGGGAATTTTTTACAAACTTTATGCACAAGCCTGTAACGAAATATCCGTCTCATCGACTACGACTTATGATTTTATTCTTTTATGAGCTTAGCGCCTTGAAAGCTTTTTAATAGACCTTAAAGGATTTGTGGATATATGTATATTCTGCACTGCATACAATTACAATTCGTGACACCTACTTGATTTGATGGTTGATTATTTCATTTATTTATTTATTTTTCTTCTAACATCAAAGAATGAATAATTCCGAAAACGTGCGTTTTTAAAAAAATGTTCAAAGAAATTGGAAATTGAATCTCAGTTTCTACGCGAGAATGCTGAGAGTATTTAAATTTAATGTTTTTTATAAAGTTTGCAATGAACTTACTCGAAAATTACTCTTAAAAATGTTTTTTTTTGTTTTTTTAATTTAGCGCCCAGAGAATGTTTCCGGTGTAAAAAGACAAATTTCTTTTCCAATTTTCAAAGATTATTTCTCTCCTAATTAAATTAGAAGGTACAACCAAAAATTAAATTTGTATAAGTAGGTACGGTCATTAATATTGGCTTATTGCTTTTAAATTCTTGCCTAGTTCTAGCCAGTCAATCAAATTTTCCACTCAATATAACTCGATGAATTTTAAGTGTTGATTTGCAGCTGTCAGTTCTCCTGATTTCTTAACTATCACGTTAATTTTTTAACATTAGTAAAAGTGACGGTAATGAATTTTTAGTAAAAACTAGGACGTTGCTATGCATTTTAAAAAAGTATTACTATTATTTGTCTCATTGGTGACGGATGATATAAATTAGTTTCTTCGCCGGAAACACTAATTATTATCTATAAAATTTTATGAAACTCAATACCAGTTAAACATCAATTCTATAATTTTCTGGGCTAATTAGTTACGCAAATAAAAAGTTAATGTACTAATTAACGAATTATTACAATTACAATAATAAATGGGTGTGTATAAGTGCAAAACAGAAACTGCAATTGTTATGGCAACTAACCCACTAGATTTGAATACAATACGAATAATTTTAATGGATGCAAACGTGATTGTGAAGTATAAAAAATAATATACACTAATTACTGACTGGTACTGGCACCGGCTCGGAACATCTGTGTCACACATCCAGAAAAGTTCACGAAAAAAACCAACGTTGAACAATGGAATGATTAGAAACGTTTTCAGTCCTAAATATAAAACAATGTGTTGTTGATATGAAGGTGTGTTAATTAGCCTTCCTTCGCTTCGGATTCTTCAACAATAACCTTAATAAAAATCGCATTTTTGTCAGGTTGATTTATTATGCGAACGCTCCTAAACAAATGTAAACTAGATTAAGTTTGACTCGTTTCTTTTTCTTTAATAATTTCATTTTCGAATTAATATTAAAGAACATTCGTGAACGCAGTTTCCTGTTGTATTCAACCGAACATTGCACGATAATTCGAGCTTTTTGGAAGGTTTGTCGACGTCGAGGGGCTCGAAACTTTCTCTTCTTCACTGATAAAAAGGCAGATTTGTGGTGCATCCACCGTAACGATCATTAACGCTCCAAGGAATCCTTAAAAAACAATTTCAAAACCGAATCACTATATCGTTTATTTTTTTCTTTGCATGTTTTTTGAATTCTGTTGAATTTGAAATACCTACGTGGCGGATTTTTTTAATCGCAACAAATGTTTTGTACTCGAAAACAGCACACCGAATATATCGAATTTTACTGAATTAATCCTAGCTTGGCACACTTTTGAAAACGGCTTTTGCATTGGAAAAGTTCCAAATCTTACTTCCGAGTTTCACGATATCGACTTATAGTATGAATTTGTTATCCCAAAGAATTCGTTATGATATTCGTGTCGTCCTATCGTATGGTTCGATAATTGTTGCATTTTGTCTTAATTAATGCCTAATTGCCAACTGGAGCGGCAAAATGTTATATGCACTGTAATTGTATGTAGCGAGGATAAGCAATGCGTATGTACTTTTAAAGGAAAAAATTGTAAGCACTATAAGGAATGTTATCAATGGGAAATGCGAACAGCGCAGGGTTTTAAAGTGTTTAAATTATGTGCTTCGAATTTTAAATCCTCGATAAAAAATATTAGAAAACATGTTGTCCCTATTTATACTATCAAAGTTTTTTTATTATGGATTCTATTACTATATAATTATTGCTCTAATAACTTTTCCATCCCAAACGAATATCTTTATAATCATTACGATAATTAGGATTTTAGTTAGGCAAATTTAATTTATAACCGTCACGTTTGTTCCGAATATTTTAGAGAAATTGGACAAAAAATTTATTAAATAATAATTTACGCCTAACTCGAACTTGTTATTCACGTTTTAATGATATTTTGCGTCCGAAATTAATCTGTTCTATCGGCTATAAAGAAGAAAAATTACATTTTTAAGTGAAAGTTTTAAATTACCACTTTCGACGAATCAGGAGTAGCATAAATTACAAACTAGATCTTCAAAGTAATTTATTTAGTTTTATTTTCTAATTTAAACCAAAATAGTTTAGACAAAAAACGTAATACTATTCATTTAATCATTTAATGTCCAATAGAAGAGAAACGCTAAAGTAAATTTTTGAAATTCGTTTATTTCTCATTAAGCTACGTAGTAAACATAAATAATCAATTTCATGTTGAACACTCTTTTGTAAACTCCCTCGTTATGTTCCTGTATAATTTCCTCTCTATACTCTCGACTATCTGGAAACTGACAAAATTAACATCGATGTTTGGCAATTTAACAAGGTGTTTCGAACCTCTGGAAATTCGAAGGCATAATTAGAATCTTACATAGAAGGGAGAAATCGAATATTGCTAACAACATGGGGTCGAATGTTCGATTATCGAACCAGCCATATAGGACAATAGCGTATTTAATACATACACATGATACCTACATACACGCACGTGTTCAAATTTTTCAATAATAATGTAAATGACAAAATGGTTATTAGTGACATATATGAATGAATTATTTAAATACAGGGTGGCACATTAGTATTGAAAAGCTCTATATATCTGTTATTGTAGAAGATATCAAAAAAACTTCATTACAAATGTTCTAGATCTTTTTATGCTGCACTTTTTAAAATTGGTTACATTTATACAGAGTGTCCCGTCTTTCCGTGGTAAACCAAACTTAGACTAAAACGTGGTAGACTAAAACTTTAAGCTTTCTTTTTTTAACAATTGAAGTACACATTAAAGACAAAAGTAAGAAATGTTAATTAAACACAATCTGGTAAAAATTGTCTAATTCATTTTGTATTTTACGTTTTTTTGATATCTTCTACAATAACAGATATATTGAGCTTTTCCATACTAATGTGCCACCCTGTACTTATAACTGTGGAAAATTGGAAAGTGCAATTGTCTTTGCAATAAAAAAATTACACGAATTACGCCACTTGTATGGTAATTATACAAAAATATGAACCGTAACAAATGAATTCTAATTTGAAATTTATAGGTAATTAATTTATTTGTCTTTTTTCTAGTTACGATTTCTTTTCTAATGTAGTTTCTTCGACGCAGGAGCAAATCACCTTTTAATGACAAGAACTTAATTTTCAACAAACAAGACTACACTCTAAAGAGTATACAAAACATTTTTTTTATTAAGACATGGCATTATTTTCAATAATTACGTATGTACATTTTGCGCATACGTCAATGTTTGTGTACGCAAAATATGACACGTTCTCAAAATGGTAAGGTTTGATCGTGGAAATACAAAAATCACTCTGTATAATAATGAAACAATCAGGTCTGCCTAACAATAGCATGGCACCAATTAACCGCAATTTAAAAGTGTTGCTGATTAATTTTTTCTATATTTTTGAAAACCTATACCCAATTTATTTGTGGTGTATACTTTTCTCGATTAAAACTAAATTAATTTTTCAATTTGACTATTGACTATAGTTGACTATTGACTATTGACTATTGACTATTGACTATTGACTATTGACTATTGACTATTGACTATTGACTATTGACTATTGACTATTGACTATTGACTATTGACTATTGACTATTGACTATTGACTATTGACTATTGACTATTGACTATTGACTATTGACTATTGACTATTGACTATTGACTATTGACTATAGTTTTTTTTGTAATTATCTAATACGAAATTTTAGAAATTTTTGCAACTTTGAACAAAGTAAACCTTCGGTTAACGTTGAAGTTGAGAAGTTTAACGGATGTATTTTTATCGTCCTATAAGCTGATTACAAGTTTGTTAACTATTCATTTTGGACCTATTGTAACGGCACAACAGTACATTCGAAGCCCAGCTGACTGTAATATTCCGGTTACGTCATTACCTAACGGTACCGCAACCCTAAACGTTTTGGCGATCGAGAAACGGTTGCTTTGTCGATACAAAGTCACCTGCCATGACCACCTGTTCCTTTAGCATTCTTCAATTATTCCGTGATTAAAACCGCATCGTCAAAGAAACTCGGATAATTTGCTAACGAAAAACGAAAATGAAAATTCGCGTTTCCCCTATTTAAATTTTGGCTCTTTAATAGGGACAAGCACAGGGTGTCCCAAAAAAGGGAGGTACACCAAATCAGAATTTTTCAATTTTTGCTGATCATCACCGACCTTGAACTTACATTGGTTTTTTTGAACATACCGATTGTCTTTTTGATCCGCAAACCGTAGAAAGTCGATAAAAATCCATCAAAAATCGATATAGTGTTATGTCAAGGTCGATGATGGACAGTGCATAGACTCCGGATACGGACACGGCCTAGATTTCTCTATGCTCTGTGGTTGCTTGCCATAGACGGCGTTTTCTTTCACTCCACAACAGGTAGACCAAGCAGATTGAATTAAATCGCATTTAACATTAATTAATCCAAAAAACCGGGTGATACATACTGCATACTCTGAAAATTTAGTTCGATACACTCAGAATAAAATGTACCTTTACAATATTAATACCTATGAAACAACGCAACTTGCCTGAAATTTGTATAGGTTTACGAGTGCGCATTCCACTTTAGGCTTTAGCTATTCATATCGAACTATAGGTATTATTCGAAAAGTTTTGTATGAACCACACTGGGAGAGTTTTTACGGACAGGGAAAGGTCTTTTAAATTGAACTCGCATGTCTTTTGATACGCCTCTGATAAAATTTGTAACGATTTACCTCCTCCCAATATTATCATAAAACGTATGAGTATTACAAACTGCAGTATAGCAAATAAACTGTTCTATATTACCTACAAGCTCGACAAAAAATTTACATATTAATAAATTGCTTGTAAATTCATTTCGAAATATTATTATGATTAAATTATAATTTCTTCGATATAAAACAACAGGAACAGCGCAAAAGAAACAAATAAAGAATATGTGTATTTTGGTTAATGACTTTTTTTTTAAACCACACCACTAATTATCGATATTATTAAGATATTTGTTGTGTCCATTATTTTAATCTATTTATTGCTAGTTGCCATATTCAGAGTTAATTTTCCAGTCAAGCCTGTCAGAAAATTTATTATTTAACTTGACATGTTATATTAGGTTATTGCAATTATTGTTTAAAAACTCATAATTATATTTTTAAAACCCATCCAGTATATTTTCTTCTAATTTGTAAATATTCATGCGTATTATAAACATTCATTGTGAACATTCATATATTTAAATTATATTCTTTTGATCGAATATTAGGTATAAATATAAAACAATATTATTACAGTCTACAACATTGTAGCGAGAATTTAATGAAAAAAATTGCGAAATGAGTACAGGGATTACACAAAGTACCGGGAGTACCGGGATTACCGGGAGTACCGGGAGTATCGGGAATACCGGGAGTGAAGTAAAGTATAAAAAAGTTCTAGTATGGGAAAGTATCATAGTTCTAGGGGCATTTCATGTCATAAGTGCTTATGCAGTGTGGCTTACTCTTTCATTACAAATAGGGTTGAAAACCTTGATTTTCAGTAAGTACGATTCTTTCTATCAAATAAAAATAATTAATTACACTTATCTTTTGATACGGCAGCATGGGCAATGGAAATAGTTGCAATTCTCGGAGCAACGGCAGGCTCACATAGATTATGGTCTCACAAAGCGTTCAAAGCTAAATGGCCACTGAAATTGTTTTTGGCTGTAGCTCAGACCGTAGCTTTTCAAAAAACCATATTCGAATGGGCTAGAGATCATAGAATACATCACAAATATACCGATACTGATGCCGATCCTCATAATGTTAAAAGAGGATTTTTCTTCGCTCACATGGGTTGGCTTTTTGTTAGAAAACATCCTGATGTTATCACAAAAGGAAAAACTATTGATTTAAGTGATATTTATTCCGATAAAATCGTAATGTTCCAAAGAAAGTAAGTAATTTTGAAATTCATGTTATTACATTAAAACTTTGACAATAAGTTAAGATAAAATTAAATATGATGGACATTTAAACAATAGCCCGCACGTTTAATTGCATTAACTCATTGTTAATGTTTTACAAGAATGAGTGATTGTGAATATAAATTTCTATTATTCGTTATAATTTTTTGTGGTTTTACATATTTTAATTATAATGCACTTTTTATGCCAATACTTCAATTTAGTAGTAGGTATACAGGGTGTCTACTATAAAAACCGCCAAACTTCAGGAGGTGATTGTACAAATAAATTCGAACCAAAAATGTCCTATAACACTTTTTCGAAAAGCTTGAAAAGTTCGAAAAGTATCTTTTAATGGTCGTAAACCCAAAATTTACTAACAACTTTTTCGAAAAAGAGTTTATATGACATTTTTTGTCCAATATTACTTGTATAATCACCTCCTGAAGTTTGGCGGCTTTTATACTAGACAAACTGGATACAAAAAGTGCAAATTTGTTTGCAATATGGTCATTTCAAATAACAATGGGAGTGAGAAAGCTGAAATCCCACAATATCACTCTTCTTTTTCCTTAATATGAGAGTAAGGGATGTTATCTTTGTATATTGCATACACAGACCATATTATGTACAAATTTGCACTTATCTGTATAAAAAATTTAATACAAAAAATATCCCTGACACCTCATTAAAATATAAAAAATGTCACATACGAACTAGGTTACAAATTTAAATCCTAAATAGGTAGAATGCTTGCGAACAATGATTTTTTAACAACGTAAGCTAAATTTAAATGTAAAAAATCGTCTAGCAGTAATTGTTTCTGCTTTTTCATTCATTACAATAATTAATCGTTTTGAATCATTATTTTAAACGGGTGAACTTATTTCTATGTGTTACGAATTGAGGTGCTCTTTTTTAGATCTTTGTTCTCTATTTTTCTTTATTTAAAAACGGTAACTATTTATTTTAGATACTACTTTCCATTAGTGCTAGTTTTTTGCTTTGCTATACCAACATACATTCCTATGTATTATTGGGGAGAGACGTTTTCAAAAGCATTCAGTATGAATGTTCTGAGATACGTACTCGGTATCAACATAACAGGCTTAGTTAACAGTATAGCACACATGTGGGGATACAGACCCTATGACAAGTAAGACCTTGCATGAAATAGCTTTTAAGAAAATAATCGATTTTTGCATTAATTTTAGGAACATAGCGCCGTCTGAGAGTTTGTTATGTTCATTATTCACTTGCGGAGAAGGTTGGCACAATTATCATCACGCTTTCCCATCCGATTACAAAACAGGAGAGTTAGGTTTCGGCGTTATAAACTGGACTACCGGTTTCATTGATTTAATGGCAATTCTTGGCCTAGCTTATGATTTGAAAACGGCTTCCAAGGAATTAATACAAGCTAAAATGACTAATAGAGGTGACGGAACTACGTCGTACTTGCATTGAAATTAAAAACATTGGATATACAATTATAGCATAAAAATATAGCAACCAAAAAAGTGTGTTTTCAGTTTCGATATAGCCAGATTTTTTGATTTTTACAAAACAATAATTGTACAATAATCATCAAGATCGTGTACCAACTAACCATATGTGTGCGTTTATAGTAGGTTAACGGAACAGTCGTTGATTGGATCATCCTTACTAAATTGGTCAGTTAGTGAAATTTATAGGATGATCTCTTCGGAAAAATAATTCCTATTTTAATTGACAGGACGCTTGTATTTAAATTATTTATAAGCACATATTTAAGTAGCACGTGCGGACTGCGAAGTTCAATTTTGACTCCTATACCGGAGTCTTAGGTAATTAAAAGCGATTTTAAAGAGAATACAGTTAATGATTTAATTGCTTAAAGAGAAAATAAGTAGCAATGTAAGTAAATTGCACGTCTAAAAAAAATATCAAGATCTTAATTCCCATATTCAGTATGAATTTCTTTAGAAAACGTATTTAACGCAAAGAAAGCGACAGGAAATTATAAGATTTTCTCTTATAAACTAAATATGTCCGGAACAACTGTCGATACATTACAATGAAACTTTTAGAAAATTCACCGTTAAGTTTAATCCTTGCGTAAACAAAATATGATATTTATCAGCTATAAGTTCCATTATTTACTGCTAAATAAAGTATGGATTTGGAAATAAAACTTTTTTAACGTTACTAAGTTTCTCAACTCCGACGCAATTCAAAGAATTCAGAGCGACAATTTTATCCTCTTATACATCTAATATAAAGATACAACTGGAATTGTAGCTGGTGTAGCCATTTCTTACATACATTTTGATATTAAAAATAAATTCTTTGAAATCCTGTCACGAGGGGAAGACTTCAAAAAGCCGTGTTCAGAGTTTCGGAGATTTTTAGACGAAAAAAATATATAACACGAACAACGAACATGCCTTCCATGAAACAACGCGTATCAACGCGCGTTATCCGATGTTTACGCTACTTCTACGTGACCTGTCAACGAGAGGCATTTTGTTTTATTCATTTACTCAGTATAAAAGCCATCGAATACCAAAATCCGATAGAAAAAATTCATGATATGCACCAACTAACGGCGCGCGGCGGTTGATATATTAGGCATATAAAAATGATTAGTCTCCCAAGCTAATTGTAAAATTAATTATTTAAGAAGAATTTGGTCAAGGAACAACAGGAAAATGTGAAAAAACAACTCTATAAATAATCGCCTAAGTAGGAGAGAGTGTATAAATTATTATTCCTGCTTGTTGATTGTGTTGATAAAAAATGGCGATGATGTTTACTATGCAGCTCCATCTAGTGAGTTTAATTCCGACTATCACTCCTGCTACTAGGACGCATGAAGAAATACTCTATAACTACACAACTCCTGCGGAGTGTTTATACTAGGAAGCTCCACCAATACTAGATCTCATCTTTACAACCCTTCACTAATTAACAACCACCTAATAAGTAAGTACGTCTTTATTTTTCTTATTAAAGTAATTAACAAACCAATTAATGTAAACCAAATGTTTCAACTGTAATTATTCGGTTCTACTATTAATTTTCCATCTTCGGCACCGACACAGGGAAACTTCGCCAGCGTAAGAAAAAGTACGTACAATTTGGTGCAAACTTGTCTTCTTTGCACATCGACGTGATTTATAGCCAAGCAAATACCTACTACTGGTGCAGTACAAATTGGAGCAATGCTAGGATCTGAAATTTAATAAATAATTCCCGTGACCTAGTGCAGAATAATAAAAAAAACTTCACCTAATTGTCCGGCGAATAAAACGTTCCCATCCATTGTCAAGCTTCCTTTAAATGTCACTTCGTTCGGATTTAACATAAATTTCGCGCAAACTGAAAGTAAATAATTGATCAATTATTCCGGTGTCTTCGTTAAAATGCAATTCGTGGAATATATTCTCAGTTCCGGAAATTTCGGTTCCCTCAAACTTTCAACCATTCGAATTTAATTACGCGTGCTTTATTTTAAAATTTTATTCGCCAATTTATCAAGTCTAAAAGAAAAACTTTATATATTTTGTTTCGCGTAATTAAGCTACTTCGAATCCAGCATTATGACACTGTCAATTATGAAATTTAAGCGGACGTTTATTTACTACGGGCTCGTAATAAGCAATTAACTTCGGGTGGTAAATTTTAATTACAAAGTTCTACTTTTAATTAATTGTCGGTCTGATTTGTATTAATTGTGAATTAATACACCATTTATCCGTTTTGCCGGCTGACATGTAGCGGTATCGGTGGAAATTAATAAATCGTTACAGTTTAAGGCGTGCGAATTTTCGAACAGGAAAGGGTAAAATAACTACAAAATGGGAATAGCTAATTTATCTCTACTTATGTAGTACCAACATATGTAAAAAAATCCAAATTAATTAAATATCGTTTTGTATTCAGCAAAAGACAAATTCATATAATTTTATTTCCTATTCACATTAAATTTTAATTAGAGGCAACACTATCCAAACATGTCCGAATCGTTTATGAAATGCTTAACCTATTTAAACGACAGAATCCGAACTGAAATCCACAGCTGTCTTTTAAGTAGGTTGGAAAGTTTCAAGTGGCATAGAAATAAGCACTCCGGAGTTGGTTAAATGGCTCAATTTTATTTAATTTTTATTTCATCTACTAGACGATATTTTTTATAGTTTGCCCAGTTTGCTCTCGATAGATCTAGTGAGAAGATTCGAAATTTGCGGCATTAGGGAGGATAAACACGTGACAGGATACATGCCATTGAATTGAATGGTAGGATGATGAAAGGAGCAATAGAGAAATTTATAAGCAAAAGCGACAGCCGAACGACGAGGGTGATTTTGGGTTATTAATATTAATTCCTAAATCTGTATGAAAAAGTCGTCAATAAAAAATATGAAAAAAATTCTAGTCTCTGGAGGAATATTTTATATGCTGGGATCTTCGCGCAATGAAAGGGTAATTTTCATAACTTCAATATCTTTCCTGAAATCAAAATTGCAAATCAGATCCGTTTCTCTCGGAACCGGAATTGTTTTTAATACAAAGGGAAAGACAAATTAGATGTACGCTTCAAATAATCCGCAGATAAACTTCGCAAACAACAAGTACGCAGTTCATTGTCTTTTTCGGTAATTCAAATTTATTTGGAAGGTGTACATTTTATGAACGAACGCGAAATATTTGTCTGTAATTCCGTTTCCTCATTTTGTTCTATGCCGAGGATAAATATTTATACAAATACTTTGGTAGTTGTCTCAAGAGAGCTTATTTAACAATGCATTTAGATGATGAATACTTCAACTCGGGATGCTTGTATTTAACGCGCCGAGTTTAATTCCGTTTACGAAAACCAAACAATTCTGCCATTTGTTGTTTTGTGATTTAAGCATAAGGTTATAACAGTATTAGATGCAGACTAAAAAAAATGAAAATTAAATTTATGGAATGGTATTTATTTAGTGCATGTTGCGTGCTAAATGTAGATTAAGGAATTGTTTCAATAATCAAATAACAAAAAAAAATATTTTTAGAAAAATGCATACTGTATTGCAATTGGAGTGTATAAAATTGTGCAAATTGATAATTATCCTATTAGTTCGAGCTCGTTATGCAATTTATTATTTTTAGTGTAATTATCAGTACATATTCCGTCGTTTATGTTTTACTCTTTATCATGTATAAAATTTAATTAAAAAGATTTTATGTTGTAACCGAGATTAGCTGGGTATAAAGCGCCTAAAAGTTTAATATTTTTCTCCGGGACGACAAAGTTCGGATTACTGTGAAACTATTCGCTCAACAAAAACTTTTCAATTCGCAAATGGTTATAAAGTACTATGTTTGATATAATTGTAAGTATTTTAGCCTGGAAATGGTGAAAAGTTTCTTAAGATTCTAGTAATAAACTAAGGAACTTTGAAACCACAGGCGTAACGTTTCAATAACTATATGATAACAAGAACATACGCGTTATCATAGAATATAAAAAAAAGCCCAACATCATAACTAAGACCTGATATCGAAATTCTCGGATTATTCTGAATATAGGCATCGAATGCACACATACAAGCATATTCATTTATTAATACAGATAATTCTCACACTACATAGTGCCCTTTCGCGTTCACTATTAGAGGAAATTAAGTTAACTATACCGTCACGATTTGGGCCATTCCCAACGTCGATGGTAGCGCAGCAGTTGCAATCCAGACCTTCACATTCGCATGGCCTTAATTGTACTAATCTGGGACGTTTTCTCCTTTGATGAGCGGATTCTACGAGCAAAATTTCGACACTAAAACATCCAATTTTACTAAGAAAAATTAGGTACCTGAGATGGCCGCATAAATTATTATAGTTAAAGTTAATGCGATGAACAGTTGGCATGTCATAGTTTTCGAAGACTGACAGTTAAATTGCATTCGATGCCATTTTTATACAATGGAATAATTCGATTGAAATTGCCGCATTTACGATGATTGTTTCATTATATGATTTCCATTCCACAACTGGAGGAATTATTCGAATTATCGAAGATTAGATTTTATTTGAATACGACATGATTGTTTCTCCCCTATTTCATTAAAAGCAGCATTTCATTTGTAATAACAAATTCATGTTAAATTAAGGAAAAGTGAGTAATTGTGTAATTTATGTAATAAAAACGTTATAGTAGATTGTAGATGAGGTGTGTATGTATGTATACATAATGGCTCGAAAGTTCTAATGATTTACGTCTTAGTTCGCACATTCTAGCTTCAGCTCGAGCCAGCGTTTCGGCTCCTTTCCCGTGTGTCATTAAACTTTTTGGCTGGCGCTGTACGTGACAAGTTTATGTGGAAAAGTTTTAAAATAATAGACATATTGCCGGAGAGTGAGCGACTAATAAATTTTCAACGATTCAGCGTAGTCTAGAAAGTTGCAGAAAAATAAATGTAAAAGTTGATATGGTTAAATCTTTTAAGGAGAATTTAATTTGATCTTTCAATTCCATATCTGTAGAGCGGTTAGTTAGGTTATGTACTTTTGAGAGATGACTTTTTTGTATTATATAATTTGTATAAGTTAATGCAAAGAACATAAATTAATTTTATTCGATAATGAACGAATCCTTTGTTCAATACAACCCCATAAAATAAACAATTCATCCCACCTAGCTCTTTAACGAGATAATAAAACTGCAAAAATATATTTTCAATTTTACGATTTCTACGTTCTCTTCTGTATTTTATCGCCGACTAAATTGCAATTTACAATCTTAAGATCAAAACGTAAAAATTTCTAAATTATGCAATAAAATCAAATTCAAAATTAAACAGTTCCTGTAATAGCAACAAAACACTTTTTTATGCTAAGGAAGTGAGAAAAAATCTACCGGAACTCTTAAAAAGTTTTCCGGCGAAAATTTATTTCTTATTCGCATTTTCGAATACAATTCGGTTCGAGGATATTTTCCTCTTCGGTGGAAATTTTTAAATAAGAGCCGAAAAATAAGGCCGCCTTTCGAAACTAAATAACCGCTCACAGAATTTTAGCTCGAACGAATATTTACGCGAGGGGATGAAAATTTGCTGAGATGTTAATAAAAAATGAATTTCCGATGGTTTTTTCGTTTTTAATGTAGCTGTTTTTTTTAATTAAAAGTACATTAGATTAATAACGTTTGATTAAGAAACGCTTGCAAATTTGATGTCTACTAAATAAAGAATAATTAATTAATCCGAAGTAATTCATTTCGAAAGGTACACCCTGTAATTTGTTTGAGATGGGGATAGTCGAAATGAAGTTATATATCTTCGCTCGCGCCCATGAAATTACAGCATTCGTGATGAGTATATAACCATTTCAAATTGCTCCGCAGCGGATGGGGCGCGAATAAAGGGTTTATTTTCTAACGATGTCATTAGTTGTTATTCTTGTTACTTCTATTTCTTCTTTATCGTTGAATTATCCCTCTTTGCGTACTCGACGAGTGATATACACTGCCAGGATGCTCGAATTGAATTTAATCGAGAATAACGTTTTAAATTAAGAGTAAGATAATATCTTGCGAAAATGTCAACATTTTTTTGATAGGGATTACTTAGCACAAAAACTTAAAGGAGACGAGGCATTTAGGAAATTGTCCATGTTTTCCGTTCACGAATTTGCAACGATGCTCTTGACAAACTGTAGTAACTTCATTTATTGAGGGGATTTTCTGACTGTAGTTCCTTAATGATACCCCTGGCAATCGCTGAGCTCGGTTATCTGTTCTAAAACGTATACTTTATATACCTCTCGTATTTAAAGCTCGAAGATCCGTCAGGGCCGGTGCGAGTTCGAAACGAAAACGGGAAAAATTTAATTACGCAAGACACGTTCGTTGTAGTTTTAAAAACGTAAAATTTTGTCCTCCAATTAAAATTTCGTTATTCGATCTCTCGCGCTAGGTGACAACAAGACCTAATCTTCTCTGACGCATCGTCCTCGACCAACCCTAATCAAAATTCCATCACAGTCGACTTGTAATTCTCCCGATTCTAAGCTAACAAATACCACTTTTTTATCTGAAGATCCACAGTCTGGTAAGTCTTTAGAGATTAGTTTTCCCACTTAGGTGTGGCACATAACGGTGATCCACAGATAAGATTGTACGGCCGCCCTGTTAAGGTAAATTAATTTTATACAAAACCAAAATCAATACCAATGAGAGTTTATTTAAAAGAGGGTTGGATTAACCAGGTAGAAAATAAATCAGTCAAACTGACTATCTGTTAGTTGTTTTTGAGATATTAAGTAATTTTAAACTTCAAACGAGACGGAGATAAAGAAATCTTCTAATAGATAATTCTGGTCCAACTACGTACCCTTTTAAATTCTTGATAAAAAAGTGCCTAATCCCAAACGAATAAAACCGATAGGTCCTTTTTGTTTCATTAGAGCCGAGATTTATAACTGTTTAGAATATTGTTAAGTGACTAATGTTGTCTCAAGTTAATTGTGAACACGAGTGTTTATCGTTCACGATAAGAAAATTGTTTTAATGGGAGGTATTGATTTAATTTTGTTTTTATATGCAATTATGCGCCTTTCCTAATAAATATAAGGTATAATACGTCTATTGTACTATAGAGAAAGTTAATTCAACCTATATTTATGTATGTTGGTATTATTGTTATTTCCATAATAACATGTTTCAATACGAGATTGTTATTAAATTGTATAGAATATTTAAGTATTGATATGCATGTGTCTAATCGATGATTCGCTATTTATTTGAATGAATTTTTTACTAAAATATTCACCATTGTGAAAGATACGAAAGATATTTTTGGGAGTATTCACCGCCGTTGGCAAATTAGGCAATGACATGCCGATTTCTAATACTCCCTCGGGGTAACTTAGATAGAGCAACGAAAATTTCCCGAAATCATTTTATCAATTCGACCGTGCCATAAAGAATTCCACCCAGGTGATGTTTCCCACATATATATTACAATAATTTATAACTTCATTCATCATTCGAGCGAGCATGGGCATTTGATGTCGGGGAAACGATGTTTTTCTTTTGTTACAAACACTTATTTGTACTAAATATAAATTTTTCCCTGCGGATAATTCGCTTCCGTTTCTCCGAAGTTTTTTTAGGCGGAGATACCACGAAAATTCTGCGTGAGAAAAGCCGGTGTTTGTTCACCTCGATTTCGATTCGGTGAACAAACACCCAAATCGAAAACTAACGCTACCATTTTCAACTATTTGCTAATGCATTCTCGAAAACGTTCACCTGAATTATGCGAGTGACTTGTTCCAACGCGCAAAAGGCGTTCTGTTTTTCTTTCAAGTGCTCAACATTCGGTTAGATTTGTTCTTGCTCGTATTTGCTCATCTCTGACCTACTTATTATTCCATTTTTATAGAGAAAAAGTCAACAACGATAATCTAATTAGCATAATAGAGTTTTCATGTAGGCGCTTTTAATACGTAAAAATATTTCAAGTGAAATTTTAAATACGTTTTTTCATTGCTGTCCGTCTATATACCTTGTCAAATACACCTAAAATAGAAGGTGATAATTTTGCAAATTGTATTATAAACATTTTTAAGAAAATGTTTCTACGTGTAGCTTTCTTCCCACGCCTTTTTTCTGTAGGTGAAAAATTCTAACTGTCACAAATAATTTTTCATTCTCTCTAGTTTTCATATTTACGCCCGCCTATTGTAAACCGAATGGCTTTTGAGAAACATAAGTTTAGTGAACGTGCATTTCCACCCACATATTTACAGTTTGCAAAGGCTCCGTCCTCATTCGAGAATTCTTTGTTAAAGGAAGCCAAATCGCACATGTGATTCGAACAATTTGTAACCGGGATCCCGTCAAATAGATTACGGTTCATCGTCGACAAGGGACTAGTTTAGTCTCTAAATACTCGATGGTACTTAATTGTCGATCTTATTACACTTTACCCATTGCAGCATTCCTCATTGTTTCCATCAATTTCCAAACGGAACACTATACAAAGTTGTCCCGGATAAATTCTACGTTTATTTTCAAACGAGTTCGATCGTAGACGTAAGCACTTTATTATGCAGAAATTTTTCCTGCATTATCAATAAGCATGATTAAATCATTGCGAAAATTAATAATTAAACAAACTCGCTTTAGTAAAACTCAATCTCGCCAGACGGCTAAAAGGATTATAAAATAAATACGGCTAAGTGTGTTTAACAGTAGCTCTTTACAGTTTTGTTTAATTTTGTCTGTATACCAATTTTAGGCATGGATGCAAAATTTCCCACGTCGCGTTTATATAATACAAAAGGTAGGTGCAGTTATTTACTGTCATCGCCCTTATTTCACATTCAGAGATGAATAATAATTTTACGAATGTACGCATACACTGAGAAATTTATGTAATATAAAAGTGAAATAAAAAAAGAAAATAGCGCCAATATAGCAAGTGCTGAATTCTGAACTTGCTTCAAACAACTTCTTATTTATCTGGTATGTCTAATTGCACGCAAATAATCAAATATGAAGTGACTTCAGACATAATCTAAAAAAATAGTTTATTATACCAAAAACAAGCTCCGCCATTATAACACTCACCGAAAATAACAATGAATTATTTAACGAAAACATATCGCTCGCACTAATATTGACTGGCGAGTGCAGTAATTGATTAGAGAAAAACTTTACATGTTCGTCTATATCCTCTGAGCATGGAAATTCGTGTAGAATAAGAGGTGTTTTGCCAGCCTGAAAAGAAAATTAAAATATTTCCTATTTCCTACGCACAGATTGTCCAATGAATGTTTAATCCAGGCCCACAAACTTTGTTTGAGGGCAAATATAATGTTGCATAATGCATAAGTATGCTTTTAAGCAACTTTATATAGCTATTACAAACAATTTATACCAAAAGTTAAACGTTTGAGGGGCTATACTAGGCATAAAATAGA